TTTAACTATCTTTCAAAATCGCTACTTTCATATTTAACAGTCCAGTCTGAATGATAGGTATTTCATCCATAATTAAACAAAGATCAGGTTTGCAAAATTCTATTATAAAGATATTTTACACTCAATTTTGTTTTATTAGCAGCTAAGGAATTTGATATGAAATTTATATATTAATTAAATTAAGAAATTCAAGTTGATCATAGAAGGTTTTAATTAAACATTATACTCGTACATATTTCTGGAATTTCGAACCACGTCATGACAAAGCCACAGCGTGCCTTTCACGAATATCTTACATATATCTTATCTTACTAATAGTTAATATAAAAGGATGAATAGTTGTAAGAGTTTGTAGCCCAAATGGCTGAACAGATCGATGAAATTTGGCAGAGACGTGGAGGATAGTCTGTAAGAATACATAGGCTATCCACTTTTGCTTTTTTTTTAATTCCACGCGGAGGAAGTCGCGGGCTAAAGCTAGTATATAAATAAGATAATGTACGAACATAAGTTGTATCGCAAGTCCTAAGAAAAAATATTAATAATGTTAGTTTTTGGGCAAAATCAATGCATTTTAATTCCATTAAGCCAATACAATATCGTGTGAGTTTATTCTTTTATTAACTTAACTAGCTGTTCCCGTGCGGTTTCATCCGCATGAAATTATAAAAATTCTATTTCATTGTTTACATTTGTCAAATTACCAAAAACAAATGTCAAAATGACATGACATGACAAACCTTGGCAAACTTGCTTCCTTGATGTTGGCAGCAACTTATGGTCTCTTTCCCACATTAAGATTTTTATCCAAAATATAATGGCGTGAAAATATATAGCCTAAAGCGTGACGTAAGTGTAGGGCTTTTTATTAAAAAAAGGATCATTCGAAAATATCCTGTGATTGCTGACATCTTAGGCAACAAAGAAGTGCGTGTTTACGCTTTATTATAATAGTATAGATTTATATTTTCTCACTTTAATAAACGTAATTTTAGAGCTCTTCCTTTCAAAAATTATTTACTTAAGTACACCAAAGTTTCAGTTCCATAAAGAAAAGGTTCAGAATATTTTATAAGATTACAGAACCGAACGATTATTCGCATGACCACTTAGAGAAAATGCGATTTTCTCAGTCCAATGGTCTTATAAATTTTTTACTAATTCGGTTAAATTCTATCTCGGAAAAAGCTGTACCGACGGATTACTGTAGAAAAACAAATAGTTATGTTTTTAATATGTAACAAGTATCAAAATACTACTGCAATAGATTGTAATTTTTTCAGAATAGATCGCAGATATTTGATTTTGAAGTTATTAAAAAATGAGGCGTTCATTTTACACGTGAATTATGAACTCTATCTAGAGCGATGTATGTAGTTATCAAATCCGAATGGAGCGAGCCAGTGCGGCAAACTGCAGTGGTTTCTACTTTATATGTAATTTACCAACAACTCTGAAACGGGACAAAAAACGCTAGTAAAGTAAATACATTTAGGGCCTGTCCCACCAAATTGTAAATTGTCTGATAACAATCCAACATGTAAAATATGTGATGGAAATATCGGATTTTGTTACCTTATCTGACAGTGACGTCATTTTCAAGCTAATCTATCATATGCAACATAAACCAACTTATCATCTTTGATTCAGGTCTTTTTCTCAGTTGTTTTTAATACTTTTTCATGATTAGGAGAAAAAAACATCAACAATCTGCAGTTAAACTGTTTAAACTGACGTGCGATAAGCCGTCTTTAATTCGTTTAACAATCTGCACTATTTGGAAGCTGACAAATGCAGTGAAAAGAATTATATTTTTTAAAAGTATAATTAGAAAGCTGTTTAAAGTATTGCAGAAGGAATTCTGTCGTAATATTGTTGACATACTGCCTTTACCTAGAATGCTTTGTCTCAGCAAACTAAAGAGAACTTTCCTTAGAAGTGTGAACTTTGAAAACAATAGAAATTGTGTCATTTCATGGCGAAGTATGAATAAGCATTTTCTAGGCTAGCGAATTCATTATCCTGGCAATTGTAGCAGAGAGAATTGCGAATGAATGCAAAGTTATCGTTTTAATAATTAAAACTTTAGTACAAAGTAGCACACTAATTGAAACGACTACAATGACACATTTTCAAGTAAATGGAAAATGCATACGAGTACAAATGCATCAAACTTAATATTGGATAAAATATATAGTACGTTATTTATAAAAACATTTGTAATTATCTATAAAAAAAATATTGAATTGTTTAGCTGATACTATTCAATAAAGTGACTGTTATTTTTTTATTATACAAATTAGCTGTTGCTAGCGACATCGACCGAAAAAAAAACATAACCTATGTTAGAGATAACGTAGCTTTTTAGCAGTGAAAGAATTTTTGAAATCCATCTTGTAGTTTTTGTGTTAATATATACAAAAATCCAAAAATACAAATCTTTCCTCTGTAAAGATATGGATTATGGTCTATGGTTATGCTTATATCAAAAAATTTGATTTGAAGAAGTGCGTGAAAATTCAATAGAGAAACACTATAAAGTGAATAAACAAAAACAGTTTTAAATAAAAGTCATGACAAATTTAAAAACATAACTATCCTGTTACCATTTAAATTGTTAGTTTTACTTTAATAATATACATTTGAATGCTATACACGTACACTTTATAATTAGTATTCTGCAGCTTTCGTAATAAATATTATTATTTTGATAGTAATTCTTGCGTACTTTATCGGCATTATCAATTTGGTATGCAATACGTGGAACTATAAATTATTATAATTTTCTCCTTTATTTTTAAAAGAATTTCAACGAAAATTATTATGAAACATAAAATTTTAGCAATATCTATAATTTAATGTAATTTATTAAATAGAGATTCAATAAGATAAATAAGAGTTAATAATATCCTTTTAATCCTTGCATTTTACTCCATAGTTAACATTTCTGGCATTTTGCATGACCTAGGTCATCCGTGTACGTACTAGGTAAATGTCATCTTGGAGAAAATTGGGTCAGCGCACCTTCGATTTTTAGTTAATTCTATCCAATAATAGTATTTAATAATATGATACTAACATTATTAAAATTTAATAAACATAATTAATTAATTAATTAACCGATTCATAGCACAGTTAACCTTAAAATTTCGCTTCATTTAGTCCGTTTACTTAGATCGAATTTATTCCAGAAACATTTAGTAGGTGATGTAGATTATAATGCAATCTTATTCGAAATTATTTTTAGTTATGGTGTATCTAATTACAATTAAAAAAGAAAGAAGAAAATGGGTACTCACCAAATTGATTCCGCACGATCCAATACAACACTGTTATTTCACGAGATAATCGAGTTCCTATTTCAAATTTTCTATAGAATTGATTCGGACATTTTTATAATTTTTTAATGGTTTTATTTTGGCACTGTGATATTTTATTGTTAATTTTACGGCGCAAGTGTCCTTGCTCGCGGATCACACCCCGGTCATTGGGGATGTTGTGCCCGGGAACGAAGAAATATGTAGCGTAGCCGCTAGAATTTCATGATAATTATTTTCTTATCTTATTAATCATCTTCAAACTGGAACCGATTTCAAACTATACTTATCGTATTAATGTATTCTATCACCTAAGCGATGATAAATCTAAGCATCAAAATATGCTTGTATTTCATTTTATTTCCTAAAATATCACTATTAGTATTCTCCATTTACTGTACTTTAAAGTAGGTAATTCTACACAACGTTAATTTTATTTTTACGAGTATGTATTTATAAAGATTGTAAAAGAAGTGTATTGCCTTAAATAGACTTTATCAAATGTATCTACTCCACGGATGCCTATAGCCAGTTCCAGCATCCCTCCATCTCGCTCTCGTAGTGACGCATGCGCGACACCCTCAGCTGCTCTGCGCCGATCTGTTCTAACACAACCTCTAATGTTGCTGTTATCTTCTGTCAAATTGTAAAAAAAATTGTAATGGAGAAAACTTGTTGTAAGAAGGAATTTTTCACAACATCCGTTCATAGATTCTTTGAGACAATTATTGTTGTTTAGTTTTAGAAGTGAAATGTAAATTTTATGAACAAAAATGATAAATTAAATAAAAGTATACCAATATATACCTTATTATATGCTTTATAATCGCTATTAAAAGGTTAAATTAAATATTTTTGTATTTAAAAAGATACGACGTTATTTAAACTGCAGAATCGTAAGTGAATTCTCTAGTTAAATAAAAACTAAAAAGGAATTTTAGTTGTATAAGGTTGTAGGTAAAATTGAAACAAAAATGAAAACTAAAAAGATTCAGTTATGATTAAAGAGAGTTTATCATTTACTTTTAATTTTTCCTTGCAAATTAAAATGAAAAGATAATGACCTTTTTTATTTTGCCGAGAAAGGAAGCTATTAAAGTTTTTTGTAAAAGTCGAGCCATCACAAAGAAATTGTACAGTCTAAATGGAGGAGCGCTGCCGCCGACTTTATTACATTATTTCCTTCTTCCTTTGTAAAATAAAAATGCCTGTTTGTAATTTTAAATTAATTTAAACATTACTAAGAAATAATTTAATCTAAATAGTGAAAACTTTTTCTTTAAATTGAACTCAAGCAGCATTTGACAAGCAATAAAACAAGTCTGAAGTATTCCAAATCCAAGTGAAAAAGAAAACAAGAAGAAAACGTTTTGTAATCTAACTGTAGCCACATATCAGACGACATTTAAATTGATCTGTAACCAGAAAGCGAAGTGTTAAAAAAAAAACGTTGCGACGCTTTCATCGCTACAAATTCAACCGAAAAATATTGCCCGCATCAATTTCAATCCAAACACTAATAAATTGGCATCTCTCAACGATCTAAGACGGCACACAGCTAGACAGTTTATTAATAGCGGACATATTTTGTAAATCTCGACTCGAGATTCACCCCTCGACTGAATTCAGTGTCGTAGGAGTCGCGGCGCGCGCCGCCCGAAATTAAAAAAAAATAATTTGGCGCGAAACGAAAGTGTCAAAAACAATGAGTTACAGTGACATCTATGACAATTTTAATTTCGATTATCAAAAATCGAACGAAAGTAAAGGTAACGTCGATGTAAATGCCAATGAAAAATGTTGTCGAGGTGTGAAAAATGATAGTAAAAACATTCAGAGGAGTGAAGATACGAAAGAGGAAGAGAGTCACATACAGCACGTGCTGGGGCCGAGTAGGCGGTGCTTGGCGTGGGCTTGCAAGGCGTGCAAGAGGAAAACGGCGGCGGTCGACCGGCGGAAAGCTGCCACGTTGCGAGAACGACGGAGACTTAGAAAAGTAGGTTGTATGACTTTATAACTAATCTGCAAAGATTTATTACCGTCCGCATTCGCTCTCTTTAGTTTTATTTGAATCGTGATATGTTCTAGGATTATCTTACTTGAATAATTGCTTTGTTTTTCATTTTGGGTTGGTTATTACTATTGAAATTACTGCTGTAGGCGATTGTTTTACAATAGATATTTTTTTTACTTTCATGATCTTTCAGTTACGTTTGAATACTAATGATGTGTGATTTAAATTTGTTGATGTACGTAAACGTGTAGTGGTAAAAATAATAATTAAAAAAAACGACTTCCAAACAAAATATTCTCAAAAAAAAAACAACACACTAGAAAGTCATCATCATCTCCCCTGCCTTATCTACTCCCGTAGGGTCGGCGCACCGGGTTCTCGTCCTCCAAAGCATTCTATCATCCGTCATCTCAGTCATCACTCCCTTCTTGATCATGTCACCTTTCACGCAATCCATCCATCTCTTTCTAGGTCTACCTCTACCGATGTACCCCTCCACATTCATAACTAACATCCTTCTTGTTACATGCGATTCATCCCTTCTCATAACATGCCCATACCACTCTAACCTTTTACTCCTTATTTTCTTAACCACTGGGGCTACTCTCAAACTTCCTCTAATATACTCAGTTCGTATCTTATCCAATCGTGTTACCCCACACATCCATCTTAACATTCGCATTTCCGCTACATGTATTCTCCTTTCATCCGTCCCTTTTACTGCTCAACATTCAGATCCATACATCATGACAGGTCTTACGACGGTTAAAAAGTAACGAAACAATTCCTTGAATTACTTAAACCTTCCTTATTGTAGCTGTCATGTCTACAATTGTACAATTATTATTACTCAAGCTTTCGCCCGCGACTCCGTCCGCGTGGAATTAAAATAAACGAAAGTGAGTAGCCTATGTGTTCTTCCAGACTATCCGCTACATCTTTACCAAATTTCATCGAAACCCGCTCAGCCGTTTAGGCTACAAACTCTAACAAACATCCATCCATCTTAACTTTCACATTTATAATATTAATTTACTAATATGATTAATGTCGGTGTTAGCCGAGATAGGCAGTATATTTACGTAAGGCTTTCTACATTTTTACCATAACAATTGACAATTGAACGTATAGTAACATTTAAGTAACTATTTTTACCACCCTTTTCTTATAAGGAGAGGTTGGGAAGAGGAATTGGATTTGACGGTGGAGGAGATGCATAGGAAGGGGAAATATCCTCTTTATGTGCGTCTCCTCCTCCATCGTATAAGGGTAGGCAACGCATCTGCAATTGCGGATGTCTATGGACAGCGGTCGCTTCGCCATTTTGGCGATTTCAGGGCCGCATGGCCGCTGGCTCGTTTGCCACCTTATGTTATAAAAAAAAAAACTATGTTTGTAGAGAAACATTTATAATATTTGTATTTTTCACTCCTAAATATCATATCGCATCAATTACTGTTAAGTCGACAATATTTTCCCATGTAGTTAATTATTGATTCCTATTCATATTTCAAAATCTTTATTCCGTTGATGACAATGACTAATACATTAACCTCAATTCCTTTGTGATACTTAAATCATGGTTTTCTAAACAAAGCACGTAGGTACGATACGATTTACTTATAGCAGGGCTATTTTAATAGGTCACATTTGACATTTCATTGAAATTTAATAACGTAACTTTGTAACGGTAGTCATAAAATACATATAATATGTTGACATTTTGCCTGAACATTAACTCATACTATGTCCAACTCCAAATTATGTTTTCCCGTCGAAAAGCAGAAACTTTCTTGTCACTAAGACGTGTTATGGTAAGTTACCATTGTAACACACCTTAGTGTAGACTTTGTTAATTAAACGCAAAGGGAATTTTCACTTATTAATAACCGCCTTAACACTACACCCAATGACTGTTTTTCATTCACAATTTCCAACCGTTGAAAGTGAACGCTTCCTAACTTAAATTATTTTGGATGGATGTTCATTAAAAGATAACTGCAAAACGGCAAAACGGATTTCATTAAAAAAGGTTACTCTACCTGGATTACCGTATTAAGCTTCTTATTATTTTTTTATTCGGAGGAAATGATGTCGCGGAAAATCTAGTATCGTAGTAGTTATATATTTTCTAACTTGTAATGTATTGTACTTAACATTTATTTAGATTAGTTACTTTGATTTCTTAAATCTTTGTTCATGTGCTTCTACGAGTATATCTTAAAAAATTACAATATGAGTACGGTTAAGTAACCATTTAACAACTCTGAGTGATAGTAAGCGGTACAATATACGGTATTAATATAAAGAGCGGTAATCCCGTGATATAAATAAAATCACGATGTCCCAAAATCACGTTCCCGAGATTATAGGATTTAGAGACGCCGGATGCGAGCCGGCGATGTTCTGTCACATCCCTGAACATTTAATTTGTAATAGCTTTTATTGCTTATGTTATGGATGATATCGTTTTCCGAAATCGAAATTTATGACTGTAAAATTCTTCGTATTTTATAGTGCGGTAATAAATTGTCGCTTAACATTGAACACGATAAAATTCTATACTTTTATTTCATGGTGTCATATTCATCTCTTTTGACAGCGATTGATCCCAACTTGTAAAAATTATTTAAAAATTAAAGTAAAATCTTCAAATATCTTAATTCGTCCAAGTGGAATTAATACAAAAAACAAAAAGCCTACTGTTTCAAAAAGTTATACAATTTAAAAGTAAAAACGAATTTAAAACATTTGGCGTCCAAAGCTCGTGTAAGTATAATATGAAGGTTGGCAGAGGTGTGACAATTCTGGCACAGGTCGCAGTAACGGGGAAGCATGTCTCCGTTATGATGATATCTGACGTGAGATACAAACCGACGTCAGTGTACGAGCCAGAAATATTAACTACTTTGATATCAAAAGGAATGCAATGTGCATTAACTGCAGACAAGACTTTTCCACTTTCTCATTTCTACATATTGAAATCCCTGTTATTTTGTTTCAGAAAAAAAAGAAGAACTGATATGTTTTATACTTTCAACTTAAATTACATTTGTTTAGTGTCCAATACTGAAATTTTTAAGAACAAAGAGAATAAAATGCGACAATATTTCAAGTCGAACTATCTATGTGCTTACTGGCTTTTTCCCAAACAACGACATAAAACTCTACGCTATATGCTTTATGCTATGTAACTACTTACAACGAAAAGCGGCGCGTGCGCACGTAATTCAGTGGGTATAAATTAGGAGGGAAAATGTTACAAGTTTTTACCATTTGCGGTTTTATCACATTTTATCGCAGATTTTAGAAAAAAAGGATTCGATACGAGCGTATCCAAACAGGTAAGCAGGTACATATTTTAGTTAGTTGCCGTCTTACCCCTGCATTTTTGGTCTGGAATATAAGCAGAATAAAATTGGAGTGTCTGTTTGTAATATCAATAGAAAAATTTCAGATTTCGTAAAAATGTAGTATTTGCGTTGCTGATAACGAAAATCGCATTTAATTTTTTCTTGTCTATCTGTCTTTCTGTCTTTGTCTTTCCGCAAATCGAGTTTGTTCCGGGTAACCTCCGAAACGACGAGACCGATTTCAACCAGACTTTCACTGAAGGAAGGCCACAAAAAGTGGCCTATAATATGATATATTCTATGCCACTTTTTAGCTGCGTGGACAAAGTCTCGGGCAATAGCTAGTCTAAATATAAAATAGTCAAAGATATTATTGTACTTTATTAATTGTAATGGTATGCCGGTAGTTTCCTGCTGTCTGCATTTCAAACAGATCGTTTAATAATAGACGAGGGCTATTAGACAGGGAGAGACACTCTGACATACTGACAGGTTACCACACACTTAATCGCCTCTAAAGTGCCCGTTTTTAGTCCCCCGGGACGAATCTGTCACGGCAAATTACTTGCGCATGCATCGAGCTTTTAAGTAACTTTGCTCGTTTGTAATGAATTTAGTTTAGGGTTAATGAACCCCTTTGTCTGAAGGTACATTAAATCCTTGAGTTTATACTGATTTTAAGTTTTACGTTGATAAATCAAATACTTTTAATATTTCGAAATTAAATAAGAAACTTGAAAGTATATGCGCGAAAAGCTATCGTGGGTGGTTCAGTTAATGAATTTGCACTACTCATTATTGATTTATAGATGCTTATAATCATCATCATTATCATCATCATCATCATCACCAGTTCACTATACGTGCCCACTTTGGAGCTTGGAGTATATATCCTAATTTAAGGTGACTAGGCCTTAGTCATATTATGGCTTATGGCTTATTATCGTTACTTTTTAAATGTCAATAATTTGCAAGAGTTCATAAAATTAAAGTAGACAGTTTTATTTGTTTTTATGTCTATGTTTCTTATATATTTTGTAATCTTACAATAGTATGTAGACAAAAGTGTTCATGTACGTAACTACATCGTATTGGCATTAATAATCTGTGTAGTGTTCTAAACGCAGCTGACAAAGAATATGTCATTTTATTCAGCAAAAAATAATAAAGATAGTACATCATTATATCTACTGTATTTCAGTTATATCAGTAATAAATTAAGTCTTACAACAGTACTTTGAAATATTCATAACTAGTAAGGGTGTTTACAAACTATAGACTATTGTAACTTAATAAAACTTATTGGTCGATTTTAGTTGAACTGTTGTTAATAATAACGCAGTCTTTAAATAATGTATTTTAACAATTCAGCCCAGTTCGAAAATCTCTTTTTTTAGTGTGTGTCTCAGCGTACAAAATGCCTTCTACGAGTCCACTAAAACCAGACAAGTATTTCGTTTGATACTTTGAAATGACGAAGAAATGCTACAATGTCTTCTTACTCTTATTCGTAGCATCCTAAAACTCTGGTAATGAATTCATAATTCGTTATAACTAGTTACTTGCCGAATAGTGATGTCATATGACACGACATTTGTGAAGTTTCTTACAGTAAGTTAAGATTATTAAAAAGAGATTATTTAGCCTCGCCGTTCTCCTATTTAAATTTATTATCTATCAATATTTCGATAAAACGTCACTTGTTATAGTTATAACTATTTAAGGCTACCTAGTATGCTATATGAGTTCCTACTCGCTAGTTTGTTTTATCCCTTATCTTATAAATAGTCGTCTCTCCGTCAATAAACATATGAATATACGGCGGACATCTTAATTTCACATAAAAATAAATTTATCGCGTCCCTCAAAGAGCGGCAACAATTTATTTTTATTTTCAAATGCTTGTACCGTTTTGTTAGTGGCGTTAAATATTATGATTGCCATACATAAATCTGTCGAGTAACTTGTATAGCGTGTCGTGCTACGTTAGTTTCCCTAATTTATAAAAATCTTTTGTACGTGACACTATTGAAAAATATAACTAGATGTTTGTATGTTTTTATTAATATTTTTCATGATTTTACAGATTGTTAGTTTTAAATTAATGCAACACACAGATAAATTCAAAATAAAACGAAACAAACAGAGTTACAAATCTTTGGCTTTGGTAACCATTCAATTTAACTATATAAAAGCGAGTAAAAAAGTTGATTTTGAAAATTAGATGATTTTTAATAAAATAGTTAGTTACAGTTTTAATTATTAAAAAGTTATAACGTCCAAAGATTTTTACCCTTTTGAACAATTTTATTTACACCATCAACACATCAAAACACATGGACTTCTTCATAAACCTTTTTAGTTATTAAAAAGTTCAATTTAAAAGATTAACGACGTCTTTAAAAAGAATCTTTGCTGAATAGAAAGGGCTACGCGGCTGCTACGCGGCGTTTCTCACATTTTTATACGTCATAACATCTTTTTAGTTGATGTTCAGCGTCAGTAGGAATCGGGCCGTCTGTGTCAAATGAGCCGTCGCTAATAAGGTTGGCTAATTTTATATTAGTGCTTTACATCGCTAGAGCGGGCAGTGATGTTATTTCTATGTAAATTTACTTTTAGTGGACGTTGCATACTTCGAGGAGAGTTATGCTCCAATGAGACAGACAAGTACGCTAGTGGCCATTAAATGTTTAGATCAAAAGTAATGGGAGTGAATCAAATATTCTCTTTGATTATATTTTTAAAGAAACATTCGTTGGTAGATTTTCGATGTAGCTCTTCCTAAATTTTTACATTAACATTGTGAAATATTTAGGCTATTGATCTGCAAACAACATTTACAATGTAACTAACGTACTTACCTACGTCTACTTTCCTTATCAAAATATTGTTAAAACGATTGGAATCTGTGATCCACCGATGTCAGTTTAATTTCAAAAGTGGTGTACGATAAAAAATTATGGGATACCCTAGTGAAACTATATTAACTTATGCAGGTTAACGCAGCCTTTGAAGAGCTGAGAATACGAGCGCGGGCGGGTAGCGGGAGACTTCCCAAGCTGGAGATCCTGCGCGCCGCCATACAGCACATAGAAAGGTTACAAGCCGCCCTACGAGCCGCTGCACTCGTAAGTATCACTAGCAGAATAACCGTCAGCTTTCAGTGTTCAAACACCGGCACAAAATAACTATATTGTTTTTTTCTGTGTTTCCAAAGACATTATAATATTGGTGTACACGGGTTTCGGCAATGGACATTCACTTTAAAAATAGTGCTTAACACAAGAACTTCCTTAAATACCTCTGAAACAAAAGAGACTAAGTTAATAAATTAATGGAACCTTTTAAAAAATACAGGCTTTGATCGATTTCTTCCGTTTATTACAGTTTTTTCTCTTATGTTTCTATCCACAACCTTTACCCCTCCTACTCTAAAAGACCGTCAAGTATCACATAGTCAGATAGGTGCACTTGTACGGTTCAATATGTCATATTAGATCTTGTAGGTACAATATATCGTATTTGTTTTGTGTGTGCATCACGGCGCATCTATTTCAGCGCGCGTCCGTCACGCTCCGTCGGGCTGCATCTGATATCGTGACTGCGAGACGTGTACCTCGCTTCGTATGTCAACATACTATATATTATACAAGATATATGTTTGTCAGAATCATATATATTTGCTTTTGACAGGGTGATAATGTATGTGATGATTACGAATTAAACTGGTCAATCGGCAAGCTTGCACATTCGCAATTGGGTGGTTATAGATGACTGTCGTCAATATTAGATAATGTCGATTCATTTTCGAAATTTAGATAAAAATAGTCAGTAAGTAACAAAATCAGTAATAATCAATCTAACAAACAAAAGGAATCACTACTTGATAAAAACTAAATGGTATAACAAGTCTTACGTTATATCAATGGTGATATTCGCAAAGATTAGACCACCAGCATTCAAAAGTTTAGCAAAGTGAACAGTGTTGTGGGGAATGTAAGAAAATGTTAATATGACTTACGATCTAACTATTGCCAAAAATATGCTTAAAATAATTAAAGCACACAATAGTAAGCTATTTGTTTTCCGTGCTCTAGGTTATAATTTGTCTGTAGGAAATTGGGGGGTTAAATTATGTTGGCAAACAATATTTTGGCAGCTTGAATAGATTTCACTGTTTCAACTAAAGTGATTTTTATAACAGCTTTAGATATGATTTAATATTTCAAACTGATTTATTTCTTCACAAATAGAACAAAAGGCGAACGTAGTAAATAAACGGTGGCTGTATCGCAGTTTTTTGTAACAACTGCAGTTATAACTACCTAATTATTTTAAACATAATTATTTTATAATAATGTAACTAATACATTAGAAATTTACACTTGTAATGTTTAAATTAACACTTTAATCCTTTACTTTAGTTCAGAGCTTACGAAAAAGTTCTTAAGGCCACGTTTTCTTCCTCAAAATATAACAATGCTTTTACAGTTTTTATTGAAAAAGGACTTTGTTGTGGCCGAAACCAATAAATCTTTTTAAAAGTAAAATATAGATACATTCCAAAGGTTTGCACAAACGTGCTTTGAAAACGGCTTGCTTGTAATGAGATGCTTCTATTTGAATAGGAATTCTACATTATATATTTAAGTGCACTTATTACATGCAAATAAATCGGTTTTTACTTAAAGCAGTGTAACTGTATTTTCAGACATCTTTATTACTTTCCGCTAAATGCTACGATACACTTTTGTTGGACAAATTAAGGAAGAACGAATGGTATGTAGGCAGTAGGTATACCTATCGGTATAAGAACCATGTAAGGGTTTATCTTGTGAATATATAGTTTCATAAATAGTCATAAAAGGCGATAAAAAAGGATCAAGTTAAATGCATCGAGGCGTCGTATGCGAGCTGCGAGGAAAGGCGCGCGTTTCGCGGAGTGTCGCGAGGTTAAATCGTCATTAATACACGTCCGCGGATTATTTATCGCTACACGTGCGCGCCCGTATCGAAATAGAATTACACAGAAATAAGACCGGTGTGTCGCGACACGACCACGAAGGGCGGCCGATTAAATTATTTTAATTGGCGTCCAACTGCACTAGGGGTGTCGGCGTCCGGTATCGAAAGCTCGTACACAACTCTACCAGAGCCTCCATTCTCTACTTTTCTCATCTGTAATTTTTAAATATTAAATTAATAGATCCAATTACCAGTCCTTTCCCTGAACCAAACATTGCCATAAACCGTTTGTTTACTTCTTCGTGTCTATGAGCTTTTGTTAATGCAAATCAGCGATACAATACGTTACAGTTTTGAGATCGCGTAAAAAAATTAAATCTGGATATCGTCGTATTTTGCTTCGACCCGAAGTGTTCATTAAACTTTTTTACCAATATGTCTATGTCCGCAGCGTCCTCCTCATTTTTAAACTTAAATGTCGTGTAGATATCACACCCGTCCGGGCCGATTAAGTTTACCATTAAACTACTTTGCACCTCTTTAGTTCCTTTGTGCACACCCGACGCTTTCAGAAACACTAGAAACTGTTTATACCACTTTCGCCAGGCGTCCGCGCGCGCCGCCGGCCCACCTTGTAAATTTAATTCTGCTGGAGGTCTAGCGTGTTCCATTTTGAAAAAATACTACACTTTTCTAACAAAATCGTAATTTAACACCGCTGTCACCATGTAATGAAACGCCATATTGCACAAGACTGTTATTTTATTATACCCTCTAAATGAATACAAAAATATACAGATTATAAAACAACAACTTATTTAATACAGATACTACAAGAACCAAGCACTTAATTCTTTTCGATATCCGGCCTTTTTTGCATAACAAGTTTGGTATCTAGATAACAACTTGTTCTTCTAATTCCATACTGTAACTGGCAGCCCTCTTCCTGTCGCATGTTGCTTTTGTTTTGTTTCCCAATCAGATTATAGAACGTGAACGCTGCTCCTCCGGCCAATAAACATATTTAATGACATCGATCGATCTTTACTATTCGAGCTAAGCGCATCACTCTAGCTAACTTTAATATCTATCTTTGTACTTACCTAAACATACTTATATTAGTTACTAGGTTATGTAATAAACATTTTGTGCGTGCATGCAACTGTATCTATCAACTAGAATAACCGCAAAATTAACATTGAGTCCAAGTTGAAATATTTTATAATATGTTTGAACATTTTTCTTAAAAACCACCATTGATCATGTAAAAGAAAACTTGAACAAAAGCAATTTACACAATTCATGCGTATGATTTTTCTTCTTTAAAGTATAATTCTCGAAGTTTACGTGATAAATCGAAGCCTGACAGTCGGAAGAATGTGATAAACGGTTACTTTGATATGGGTCGGCAGTAGGAAGTGGCGTCCACTACTTTACACGGATTCTCTCGATATGTGAAATCTTGCAACCATTTTGTAAATGTCAAACTCATATTGTTCTGTTTTCTATCCATACTTATTATAAAGAAGAAAGATTTGTATATTTTTATGTATTGAAATAACTCAAAAACTATAGGCTTGATTTAAAAAATTCTTTCACCGTTAGAAAGTTAATTTATATGTGAGTAACATAGGCTAGATTTTTTTAATTCCACGCAGGCGAAGTCGCGAACAACAGCTAGTTATTCATATTTTGCGAATAGTTAATATGTTTGAATAACATGTAGGTATATTCCTTGTGACGTATGTTAGGGACGTATCTTTCGTAATTCTCAGAATATAATTGCGCCCCCTGTTCGTTGAGTTTTTTTAAGCTTGCTTACATATGACATTATTATCATATTACAATTGATTGTTTTTTTCATAATGAATATCGCTACCGTAACCTTTGTACACATAAGGTTATTTAGAGGCGAGCTGACATTTTGCGCACGCTAAGTGAGGCATGACCTGCCGCGTGTAACTTAACACATCAATGAGCAAACTGTTCACAGGTATTTCCCGGAACCATAGCCATCCACATTTATTTATAGATTATTTAAATAAACATGTATTAACTATTACTCTTAATACCGCACTTACTGTTATTACAAGGTTACTTAAGCATTTACTTACTATAGATTTTTCAAACAAAATCTACACGTATATCAATATCGTGAAATCAAATGTACGTTAAATTAAATTATAAAAGTCCTAAAATGATGTAAAGATTACATTTCTTTAATAAAATAACCTAATAAATATATTTTTCGTAGCTGGAGTCTGAAAGCTGCAAGACGTACGTGGAACCGGTGACGTCATCGCGCCCGCTCGACCGCGACATCAAAGCGGAACGCGAGAGACCCTTCCTCAACAGTGAGCTTACAATAATATACACTTGCTGTTATTTCATCACAATGTAATATTCTACAGTATCTGAAGCTTCACTTAAGGTTTAAATGTTTTAAATTTCTCTTATAGAAAACTACATACTGATTTCTTTATTTCACAGTACTTTTCTTATTAATATTATAATTGCCAAAGTTTAGATGGATTTATGTTTATTAGAGTCTGTAGCCTAAATCGCTGAATGGGTCTCGATGAAATTTGGCGTAATTGTAGAGGATAGTTTGGAAGAACACATAAGCATACTTTTTTTAATTGCACGCGGACGGATTCGCGGGTATAAGGTTGTCTTTAAATATACTTGTTAATTGTTTTAGGTGATACAGGGTCTTGCGGACTGAACAGCCTGGCGCGACTGCGATGTATAGTGCAAGCTTTAGCGGTTAAGGAAACACCTTGACCAAGGAAGCAACAAACCTTTCTAGTTTATTATTTTTATAAGAGAAGGCGGCAAACGAGCGGCGTGAACACCGAGGTGGTCAACGACGCCCATGGACATCCGCAACACCAGAGGAACTACAGATGCGTTGCCGGTCTTTGGGGTAATGAAAGGCTCGCTTCTTGAAGGTCACTAAGTCGTATTGGTTTGGAAATACCGCCGAGAACAGACCGTACCACAACGCGGCCGTGCGGGGCTAAAGTTCCGCGAAAACCGCACGGTTTTTTAAGAACTTTATTAAGATTATGATCCTGTTATAATGATAATAATGTTTATAGATAGTAATTTATGTAAAGAAAAATATTTATGTTTCAAGTGAAAACGTTGATTGAAATTTTATAATGCTTTTGGAGGAAACACTGAAAAAAATCAAGCAAATTGACATTTTGGTATAAGTTCTAAATAAAAAATAAAATTTATAAGTTAGCTTTTTTAGTTAGCTCAATTTAAATTAATACATAAGCATGTTGAGAATAAATAAAATGTCAAGACCGTTGGGAATAAACTGGTATAAATGAGAAGATATACAAGATTATTATTTAAGTTAGGTACGAAATATTTACTAAAAGAAATTTGGAACTTATTATAGCAAGAACTATTATTTTTAGAAGATATTCTAATTATACAATTCTGTTTTAGTTGTAATGTAGTTAAGTGTATTTTGTGTACAGTTTTTGCTCACTTTAAAAGATAATTGTGCCTTATTAAAATGTTTTAAGAACAAATTATCGTTTTATTTTAAAATGAAATAGTTAATTCAATACTGGGTATTTGTAAGGGTGGTAAAGAAAAGGTCGTTGATGTGTCGGAGTTGGATAAAACGGTAGCAAATAATTTTTAAAAAAACTTTAAATTTGCCATTATGCGATCTTTGTATCTTATCTCGATAACTTTAATCAATAATACAACAATGTGCACTTTATAAGATAAAACTCTAAATAGATGGCAACTGTAAATTTAAAACATCTCAGAAATAACAGGAAATTGTTAGAAAAATATTTAATACATAACAGAAACTAGGTTGCTAGCTGAAAATAAAGCGTTATAATTTAGTAACACCGAGGTCTAAAATCATTAAGATGTGATCTAGAAGTTTTAGAAACGCGATACACTTTTTTTCTGGGTGTTTGTTGTTTTGCCAATAATTCTAGCATTCACATTTATACAAATATCACATACATTTTAAGCACTAGGCATCTGGGTATGTAATCATTACTAGTACCATTCCGTCAAACGATACGCCGATCATAAATTATAAATTTAAACTCAAAAGTGCGCACACGCCCGTAGGCGGGGCTTGGCAACGCACTGCGTCCCGCCTACATAAACGCTCCTACTTTGTTTAGGCCTTCTTCACGGTTCATCTAGACTAGCTTCAGCGACACATTTAGTAACTACCTATTTGATTGTAAAAAACTTTTTATTTCTCGGAAAAACAGTCTAAACGTAAGTAAAATCATTAAATGCAAACTTTATAAATTAATTACAGGTTAAATTTCTATTAGGTTTTAAAGAAATTATTAGTTTTATTTACTTAAAAATGTGCAATTCCCTAACCTAAATATTTCTTAGATTATATAGCGAAATTGGTAGTGGACGTCCTATCCTCATCGATTGCTGGTTATTCTATCATTTTCATTATTATTATTATTATTGCTTTTCATATAGGCCTAATTTAAGTCCCTTTCCCTTTACCACCCTTTTCTTATAAGGAGAGGATGGGAAGGGGAAGTGGATTTGACGGTGGAGGAGATGCATATGAAGGGGAAATATATAAGGGTAGGCAACGCAGCTGCAATTGCGGATGTCGCTTCGCCATTTTGGCGGATTCAGGTGGCCGCTTGCTCGTTTGCCACCTTGTTATAAAAAAAAATGAAGGATGTCAGTAATCGCTGCATATTTCTAAAAAAATATATTAAAAAAAACTACACTTAGGACACTCTGACGGTTATATTTTACGCTATTTAATTTAGGAGTCGATTAAATTGGACAAACTCATCAAACGTGAAAGTGACAAAAAAAGCCAATAGCAGCAAAGTTTTACAAAATGTAAATGAAGTAAAATTTCTATAACATAGTACGCATGAAACCGCACGGAAAAAGCAAGTTAGGTTATAAGAAAGAAGAGTGTATGGTTTTATGTACCTAATACACTGTACCGTTAAAAAACATCTCACTTCTACTTTGCTTTCAGTTTTTGTTACTCTGAAAATAAAAGACAGAAGTATTTGTGAATTACATTCCGAGTCACGTTAAAACTTATTAAAGTGAAACACACTTAAAATCATCTTAGGTATTAGAAATTTTTCATCTTAAAATTATTTACAAGTTAACTTCTTGTCTTACGCGTTAATTTTGTAGTAGCTAAAAGCTAAGAGCCACATTCCCAAAACCACTTTGGATAAAAGCTTCTTGAATCGATTTCGAAAAAATCGAGTTAACTTATCGATTTTGATTCTCCATTTTGCGAATGACAGAAAAATGACATTTAAAATTCAGATCTAGAAAAGTCGACGGGACAGCAGCTTTTGTTATCGTTTTTGCTTTTATCAAAATATATGCCTTTTCTGCACCTGAACTAAATATTTTGGGATCTTTAATAATCATGAGTGACGCAAAAGATTCTCCGCCGCCTCAGGTTGGTTCTATTATTAGTATATACAGAAAGCCGGGCGCATGTTGCTTCTCTATAATCGATAGCGAAATTTAAGAAATATGCATACTTTAGGGTAAAATTACTAAATACACGAAATAAAAAAGTATTACATATGAATTGCAATTGGAGAATTCAAAGTTGTCTAGGAAACATGCTTATTAAAGTTTTGACTGTTCTTTACATTGCATGTCAATATTGGTAAATATTTTTTTTTTACAGGCTGCGCATCCAAAAATCAAACACGACTGGTACCAGACTGATTCCCAAGTAATCATAACGGTTCTCCTTAAGAATGCTCCAAATAACAAAGTGAAAGTTCACTATGGAGACCGCAGTGTAAGTATTTTTCTCATATTTAGAAATTAAAAAATATTTGACCAATAGAAAGTCAGATTGTCACTGAGTAACATTAACTATATTTATTACTAGACAATCTTTAATTCTGTGCGGATTGAGTCTTAAGAAAAAGCTACTATTTTTTTAACAATCCCTAATCAGGTATCCATATCAAGTGCGATTCCTGACTCGGAGTCAGAGTACAGCCTGGAACTTGAGCTGGCACATGAGATTGTACCTGCCATGTCCACATATGTGGTCACTCCCTCTAAGATAGAAGTGAAACTGCGCAAGAAGGAAGGTGTCCGCTGGACTCAGCTTGAAGGTGATGGTGAAGAGGAGAAGATTAAAGCTATTCCACAAGGTATATAAAGTCTATGATATCTTAATAATAAAAAAAACTGCCTAAGGTACCTTTAACAGAATATTCTTTTTTTTTTAGCCGTTATTGATGCATCTGGACCACAGCAACCAACCAAGCTCTTTAGAAAAGATTGGGACAAAATTGAAAGGGATATTAAGAAGATGGTAAGATAGTTTAAATAAAGTTGTTGGTACTCTAAAAACCCCGGAAATCACAGATTTCTTATCAGCTAATAATTGGCATGTATCGGACTGTCAAGTCAAAATTAATGTGATTTGCAAATACCCATACTGATTCAGAACCAAAATAAACTATTAGCCAATTATATTGTGGGGATTCTAGGAGCACACATAAAACACATTTCATCCAACATTTTTTGAAGTGTACTTTCAAGTTTAGTGCACTGTATGTAAATTAATTTATTGCAATTATTTAAAGGAAGAAGAAGAGAAAGATGCAGGTGATTCAGCTCTGAACTCCATGTTCCAGAAGATATATGGTGAGGGTTCTGATGAAGTTCGCCGTGCTATGAACAAGAGCTATGTAAGTATACCTGACAAGCACCAAGTGATAGCTAGCTGTCGAATTATCTTGATTTTTCATTTAATTAAAAATGTTCTCTTACATTTATTGAAAAAACTTTATTAAGCCCTGTTCATCATCAACTTGCCCTTGTCCCTATGGAGGGTTTGCATAGTATGTGCTGCTCTTCCTTACATTTATATCATCCGTCATTTTACACAATCCATCTTGTCTACTTTATAAGGCCCTTTTATGTCTTTATTGTCAGAAAACTTCCATAATAATAAAGGAAACTTTGTAACTCTTAATCTGGCAGTATTAGTATACATGTTCAGTTTTAAACTAAAATTGTGTTTTTAATTCATAATTTTCAATCTAGCACTATGACATAGCGGGTACTGTTTTATCAATGACTTATTTTCAGGTGGAATCGGGTGGTACTGTGCTGAGCACAAATTGGAACCAGGTGTCAAAGGAGAAGGTTGAAGTGAAGCCACCCGATGGACTGGAATTCAAGAAATGGGAGTCGTAAATGTATGGTGGAATATTCAAAAGGAATTAATTCCTTGTCACAGTAAGTGGTAACTGCCAAAGTATACTCACTATTAGATGTATGTAGGCTTTATATTTCATTGTCTATTTCCTATGCATTAATCAATTATAGGATTCAATATAAAATAATACACTACTTGAGATGTTTTTAACATACTATACTAATCTAATAAAGGTTTTAGCATTTTGCTTCACCTACTATATGTATTTTCATAAAATCTGTCAGCAAATATTGATTTGACTTTTCTTGTTTAATTCTGTTGTGAAAGATAGTTGTAATTTATTTATAAGTATTGAGTTATACCATTTAATTTTATCTTTTTACTAAAAATGGAGATGATGGAGAGATGTTTATTATGTTTTATTTGACAGCAAAACTGGATAATTAACAATTTAATCTCTTTATTTAGTTAAAGTAAATGTAACATTATACACTGATTATAAAATGCATAAGAATATTTGTTTAAAAATATTTTATATGTCGCATAGAAACTTTATTTTTAAATGAATAGATTGTTAAAAAATTTTAGCAATCTCTTTATAGTTTTTTCGTCTAGAAATTGCTTAAAGCGTATATAACTTTTTTTAACGAATCTGAGCTTTGCGATTCTTTCCTGCCTTCAATGATTGAGTTAAATTGTTAATTGAAGTGAAATATTACATAGTAATGAGTGTGTAGGAATGTTTATTTTAGAATTGTTGTAATAAGACTGCAAGTCGTATATAATAATACATAACTATAGCATATATTGTTTTATTTGTACCAACCCTTAAAAAATAAAACTAAAGTGTTGTATTTACCTTTATCGACTAGAAATACCAAATTACACAAAATGGCAATGAAATTGAGATCATGTTTTAATACACAAATTTTACTTAGACTAAACGCCTCATTAAAATTATAAAACAGACTTAACTTATACTAGTTATTAACTACACTAAAACACGCAAGTCATTTTAAATAATTTACTTTAAAGTCTATTACACAAAATACAAACATGTACATTTACAATTATCCTTAAAAAATAAATAAGACAATTACAGTCAAACAGTAGAGACAGAAAATTTACGAATACAATACATACACAATAACGTGACACAAAAACTTTACTGTGCAAAAAGATTATTCCAATACTTTAATGAATTCCGACGTTGTATAGATTATCGTACTTTCGTTAAGTTTACACTGTCGTTATCTTTTAACAACAATGTTGCCATTCCTCTTATTATGTTTGAAAAAAGAAACAACGTAGTTCAAAAGTGTTATGTTTTCGTGTACACAGAGCGTTAATTTACTCTTAATGTTAATATTTGTACTTATCAAGTCTTATTTACTAGCATTAAATAGATCCAGCGTTGCTTTGCTGACAGAATTCTGATAGCTTTGTATATGTCCTTCATGTATTGTAGATATCTCTCCGGACGTTTGTCGCAGGCCATTCCTAACGGGCGGTACTTTCTTACCGTTTGTAAGCAGTAAGCTGCCGCTAGGGGACTCTGGGTGCTCTGTAAACGTAACATTATTAGTAAACCAACAATACCAGTATAGTAGGACAGTAGCACTCAAAATCAGCACCATACAACTGGTATAATAACACTAATTAGCGCCTGTGAGCCAACTGTACTGGCCAAATGTTTAGATTTGATATTACAGACCTATACCAGATTTTAATCCAAATTCCTAACCATAGGACAAATGCAATTTACGCTAAAATTCGCTAACTTTAAATTACTTATGTTAAAAATTTAAATATCAATTACTAATTACCCTAATTTTAAATCATAATTTCGTTTTATGTCACAATTTCTCCAAAAGAATTTAAAAAATCAAATATCGCCGGCATATATGGAATTGACATCCCTTTTACTTAATTTTCCCTGTTAATTGAAATAAAGAATATATTTACCTTCATTATCAACACTGTTTGTTTTCCGTTGCATTGCAACTACACAAGGCCCTTTAGCTAAAGACCAAGAAGGCACATCTTCCTTCTTTATCGGTTCCAATATATTTCTTCTTGGTCTTAGTACATTGGGTAAATCATTTCGAGTTGCAATATCGATATTTAGTACTTGCTTTTCAACGCCATCTAGTGAGGTGCTTTTGATTATATTATCTGTGTAAGTTTTTGACATATTCATGGATTGATTGTCTCTGGTTAAAGAGTTTTCTTTTAAAGATGTTTCTTCCCGCGTTAAGGAGCCGATTTTCGCCATTTGATTTTCAACTGTGAATATTTTATCATTATCTTTAACCATTTGCGGCGTTATATCGTCAGATGTATTAGTTTCTGTGCTATCTTGTGGTGTGAGACTATTTTGTAATCTTTTCGAATCGGTTCTTTTCAAATATCCGTTTAGTTTTGGTGTCTCATTTTCTAAAGACAATGGCGGTGCTGACGCCATGTATTGACTGTACATATTACCTATAAGTTCTTCTGTACGTCTGTAAAATGATATTTTCATATGTTCAAAACACAATAGAAAAGAAAACAAACACTATATTAAGTGATATTTTTCAATAAACTGCGATTTTGGATCGATTTCAATGTGAGTACCATATCAATATTACAATATTCATTTTGATGTAAATGCAGATATTTACCTTGTGAGCGGTATAATAACAGTCTGTGGTACTCCGTTAGAAGGATGGTAGGCATTGGCACCAAATCCATCCAGAGACGAGTTTCCGGTTACCTGAAAAAAAAAATACAAACGAGTTTACCGAATGTTTTCTTTGTTCTAATCCAATGAAATCAATATAATTAATTTAAACAATACAAAATTTTACCTCCATAATTCCTATCTGCGTTGTTCTAACATGATAGGGGAAATTTTTATTTGCAAATACTGGCAGCGTCAATAGCTGTAAAACAAATTAAAAAATTAAACTACCAAAATCAGTCGTCACTCATTATATTTATTTATTATCAGAAGAGTTACCAAAAACATGATATGTCCAGTAAATGTTATAAACAGTAATACAGCTATTACTACGCTTTCCCGCACCCACTTATCTGGAAAAAAATATAATTAAAAAAAAGTGCTCAACAGTATATTTTTATCTTTTTACTGAATATTGAAAGATCAAAATATTAACTAACCTATGTATGAATTCGCAGTCAATATAAATAAAGGCCCCGCATAAAACCATAACGTACCACAAATAAAGAAAGGGCAGTAGAATGTGTTCTGAAACGAAAACATTATATTCAAAAACAAACATCCTTTCAGTTTACAAAAAATATTCTTATATCTTTTTTAATTTACATATTTAAGCTAACTGTATAAGATGTAACACGTTACAAATAGCAAACAATACTTTTTAGGCATATGCGGTTCTAAAGCAGATTGCGTTACAAATACAAAGCATATTATACATTGCATCATGTGTTAGCTCACTTTATCGGGATATTTCCTGATGGTGAAGAACGTAGCATATGCGAATGCGGCCCAAGCAGCCACACGCAGCACTATCAGCCCGTACCCCGCAGGGCTTTCGTACAAGTACAGCACCTCACCAGGGTCGAACATCTGTTACAATCGAGGACTTATATTTCCTGCCCAGACGCTCACAATACAAACTTATTAAATCTTTTACCTTAGCCTGATATACAAAGAGTACGATATAAGTGACGATGTAGCAGCACATGAAGACAGTCAGCTTGACTGTGAAGCCGACCTTGAGCCGGCCGCGTGTGATTGTGTAACCTTTTGCCATCAACACCAGCAGCAAAAGGAATGTCATCTCAGAGACGCCACATAGGAATTGACCTAGGACATGTAACAAAAAACTTTATTTACGATTTCAATTATGGACAGTTCCAGTGGCGGAAAAGTGTTGCCTGTGTTGTCCCTTTCATACTCCTTAAAACGTTTGTTAGAGTTCGTAGCCTAAATTCCTGAAGGGATCTCGATGAAATTTGGCATTGATGTAGAGGATAGTCTGGAAGAACACATACGCTATTTACTTTTTTTTTTAATTTCACGAGGACGAGGTCGCGAGCGAAAGGTAGTAGATAAATTACTTATTGATTTAATGGTTTTACAGACGTTATTACTTACCCGCAGTCCTGGCAGTCATATATACCACACCACTGACTGCATATCTGATAGCAGCCAGAGTCTGCACTAACACACCAGTATGCTGGCTCACCACTGACAGTAGGAACAGCTTGTAAGTGGAGTGCAGCAGGTGGCGGGAGCGCAACTCCACGCTGCACATCACTACCGCCACCATCAGCAGCACGTACGCGAATGTATACGCTATTAGGATAGGCAGGACATCTAGAAAGAGATTTTTGGTTAACTCGATGTTTAACTTCTTAAAGTGATAATGCAAAAAAGCATGTTTTACTACTTCCCCCCTTTATCCTACTTCCGTCATCACTCCTTAATCACATACATAGGTATTAGTTATAAAACTTACAGAACTCGTCGGCCGAGAAATGTTTATGCCAAAAGTCTCCATCTGGTCCATTAGTCATCAAAAACTTGTATCTCACATCCAACCCCTGTAACAAATCAGATATAACCCCTGTAATAAATAATCAGATTAAATTTAATATTGTAGGATGTACCTTAGGGCTATTGCAGTTACTGATCGCAATGAACCACCAGCGTTCCCTCGCTGAGCGGAATCTTCTAGAATTGTGGCAGGAGACGACAAGGCGCTCTCTGCCCGTGCTCGCCCCGCCCTCGCCCACGGAGCTCAGTCGCCTACGTTTATACCGCTCGTATAATTCCATAGTTGAACGCTTTATTTTACGCTGCAATATGATATAATATTTAAATATTTTAAGTTGCATACATAAAGCTCAAAGAAATCAGACATATTCGCGGCTGTGGGTCCTATGATGACAACAGATACCTTTGATGTAATTTAATAGAAACACAGTCAAAACACTCACGACAAACTTCGTCATCCCTTTCATTTTCATTGAAATAGACTGTGATAACAATACGTTTTTGTTGGCAATCGAAATCTATAGTAACACTTACCCCACTACTATTGGTGTTGTCGAATAATATCTCAACATCTTCTAAATTTTCGGAAGGACTATCATTTTCATTAGGATTAATAGTTTCCCATTCGTCTTCAGGCCATACTGTCGATAGATTAATTGCGCCAGTTGGTACCAATTCAAACCAAGTTGATGAATTTATATCAACTGTGGTGGTCTTAGGGTTAGGTGTGGTCGCTTTCAGAAATTGATCGTAGTACGAAGTGTTCAAAGGAGGCTCGAGTTTGTGACTTTTAGTTGTTTGAATATTCTTTTTTGTCGTAGGTTTTGTAGTTGTCGAACTGAAAAAATGTTTCATTGTAGTAAGCTATAAAATAACGAATATTAAACAAAAGATTTTTTACTTCTTCATTAATGTTAAAAAATGTTAACCTTTTCGACGCCGGCAGTTCCTTGTTAGCTCTTGAAACTATACATCCAGAATATTCCGTATCAGGATACCAGTGAGATAATTTAATTATTTGATTTTGTCCGTTCTTATTTAGCACTGCTTCTCGTTCCTTACACGACTGCAAATTATAACAATAAAAAAAAACATATTTGCAAAAGAAAAAGCTACTTTTCAGTTTAGTCTTTTGTCATGACTTTGGGTAATACTTTATGGTTACCAAATCTAGTAATAGTTAATTGGTTTAATTAAAAAAAAAAACCTATTGAATTCCTCTGCCATATGATATAAACTCACCATACTGCTGTGATAAACAGATGGCCATTGACTCTCATCATCGTAGTAAAGCAGCAAGTTCGGCATGCCCATGTCTCGCTCGAACTCTATTAAATATTCAAATTGTCCCTCCAATGATAGGAAACAAAAGCGAGATAGGAATGCCCAATTCTGAAATGTATTCAAATTGAAATCGCTACAATTACCGTACACCCTTATTTACCAAATAATTGACTGCAGTAAATCAGAACTATTTCCTTTAACTAAGTTTGCTTAACTTGCTATTTATACTTACTTCTTTAGTATCAACATGCCCCTCGACCCACTTCCCGTGAGCCCCGCTTAGTAACGATCCCGCCAATACATACAGGATCAAACATCTTCCCGGCGACGCGCTCATATTGATTTTTACAATATATTTATACAATGACTATGTGTATAGACATCAAACACCTATAAACACCTCAAAGTTTCCTTTATAAAATAAATATTGCATATCGATCTATTAAATTAGAACGATTAGGTATAAACTTCGTAAAATTCTTAATATAATTGATTTACTTACATTTAAGTTCAATCTATAAAGATTATTACATGTTTAAGAAAATGTACCGTAATAAAAATATTTTTAATATCTAAAGGAGTGGAAATAACTATCTTACAAAATATTGAGCATGTAAATTGACTTAACACCATTAAAATTAAGAAATTCTTTAAAGACTGACTGTTTTCAAATAAAACTTGTTGTCGACTATCGGTTACCATGGCAACGCGCTTGTAAAGGACGCGCTCATAGACATTGGACCTCCCTTTTTAATGCAGTGTAATTCGCTACTACGTAACAACAGACTGGGATACTTGAGTGTTTAAATAAAAAACGTGTATTCATATATTTTCGATTCGTATATTTTCTTAAAATTTAAACAGATTAAAAATAACATCTTACAAGACCCCGCACCGATACATTCTTGCATAGCCAAAACGAGAGGGAATGTTGAGCGTATACTCTTTTGCAAAATTAAAAAAAGTAAAAAAAAGTATAGGCTATGTACACACATAGTATATGTTTGCATATTATGACGCCCGTTATCCCTCGGCGATGTGAGATTGAATAAAATCATCATAAAATATTAGCACAAATTACACTTAATGTAGTAACCTAAAATATACTTTTGGTCCGCGCGGCTTATAGAAAATTATGCAGAAAAATAATTAGCGACAAAGTTTCCTAACATTTTATTATCACTTAAAATAACGAAAACCAAAAATAGTATCAGAAACACAATACTACATAAAATTAATTTATTTAACTTAAAAGTCGAAATCATTAAGGTATACTTTGATATTTGCAATATTAAAAAACACAAAAGTATTGCTTATTTTTAGAAATATGGGATAATTTCGGGATTTATATGTATTTGCAAAATCTTTTTACATACAGTAGTGCTAAATAATTTTATCTTACAATAACTCTTTATAATATTTATAGAAATATCCAAAAGAAATACAACATACAGTCGTGTCGACTTTATTGTTTCAAAGAGAAGACACTTTTAAATCCTAGGTTTCGACTAGGGATGGATGGTAGTTTAACATACTAGTTATCTCCACCGTTATTGACCCTTCAAGGTTTAAACCCCTTGACCTGTTTTCGTTTAACTAGTTGAATTTGACATAAATTTCACATAGGAATCACTCGTCGTCTTTTTGCCACCAATCTTCAAGTTATACCTTTTAGTTTGACTAGTCGAAAAAAGCAAATTATCGGTTTCATTTCAATAACGAAAAAACCGTCAACGACCCATCCCTAGTTGCGAATGCCGTGACATTTGTATTGACACACGTCTCTGTTTATTCAACAAAAAAAAAGGATAGTAATATGTTTCAATACAAGTCACGGCAATCAAAACCTACAGTAATAACGTCTATACATCCTTCATATTGCACTTTACTTAAAAGTATTTTGGCTGCTGTTGGCCACTTGTATTGTCTAATCGTGTATTTCCACTGTCAAAACCGCACAACTTATAGTCATCTTTAAAATAAGAGCGTGCGCACACCTGTGACTAAACTATCGCACAACTGTTTAGTCACTCTTTGATTCCTATAAGCTTATATGGAGGTGCGCACACTACTCGATTTTTAGATATGCAAAACAGTTAAATTGGCTGCAATTTCGACAATTGCACAACAGTTGTGCGATAGTTTAGTCAAAGGTACGTGCCCGCTCAAAAAGAGAGAACATATTTAGACAGATGTAACAGTGGAATTTACGTTTATCTTCAGATCAACTTATTGACACCAAATTACGACTAACAAATAGTACAAATATACATATTACTTAGGCGTAGCTTTGCCGATGAACTCATGACGTCACGCGTTAACAGCTGACGAACACGGTTGATGTTTGTGGGTGTCATCGGCAAACTTACGCTAACAGTAAAATCAAGTTACAAAAAATTGATAGCTGAAATATCTACTTGCATCTTGTCAATGTCACTATAAATTCATACATATGGAAAGAACAAGGCAATCAAACTATTGTATCTATTTATTCATAAAACACAAGTTTATAATAAGGAGTTAATGTCCTTAACAGAAATAAATGATTGTTTTTTTGTCTAATAAAATGACATTAACAAGAATCAAAAGTTATATGTTACTAGCCAAAATATAATGAAAAAAACGTAAGTAATGCAAACGAATTTGCAAGATATGGTGCAAACCAATTCTGTACCTTTACATACATGCCTTGTTTCAGTGGGCGTGGCCAGTTACTGACACTCCCTCAACATCTGCAGAGACTTCCTAAACAGTTCCTGCTGAGCTGCCGCATGTTTTATCTCCAACTCCGCGAGATCGATTAAACTGAAAGCCGTATTTAAGTACATATCTCTATATTAAGTAGTTTTAGACATTAATATAATGGGGATGTTTCCTAATGTTACAAATCCAAATAAAGTTATGTTTAATATTTTAAAGACAGCATTTTATAACCTATAATAACATTTAGAGACCTTGAATGTTTGTCTCAAATTAAATATAATTTAAAAACGCTGCAATATTTTTTACCCTCCATTACTCGATCTCAAACACCAATGACGTCACTTCTTCGCATATAACATGGCAGTGTGACCAACTTCAGTGAATGTCAGTGCATTTTGTAGTTATATTTTTTTCTAAATGATTGTAATAATTGAGTTTGCGTGTTTTATATTATGAGGACTCCATTATTGAGTGTTTTTATTATTACGACATAAGTTATGATCAAAACATTTTATGAATATTACAAAAGAAAAATATATCAAAATTCATAAGAGTAGCTTATAGTACAATTTAATTCATACCTGGTCACACTGGTGTAGGACGCAGTCACTGTTTACACACAAACATAATCTTCCACGAGAAGCAACAAGTGTAATTAATACGTTAAAAGTATCACCTTCTGTTCATTTTGGTTTTTTCATTTTTATCTCCATTACTAAAAACAACTTTAGACAACAAAAATTTACGAGTATTATCCATCAATGGTTCTTTCAAATTGACAGTGACAGGCCGTGACGCGAGGTTCGTATGCAAAGAAGTGACGTCATGGGACGTTTTGGGGGGAAATGAAAGAGTTGTTTTTATTTACGTGTTTTTTTTATTGAAATAATGAGTATTATATTTTATACTATTTTTTTTCGTTTTCATACACGGTTTATCTACAAAATAAAGGCTATTCCAAAAATTAGGAAACATCCCCATTGTAACAGCGTAATTAACTTCAACACAGACCACAACTCCCGCCAAAATGACGCGCTATTCTAATACGTCTAAATGACATTGACAGCTGTCATAGGGATGGGACATATATGCAAATAATCTAGTGTTGCACTGATTCTGAATCACAGTACTGATTTTCTTAAGAGTAATTGGTTGAAAAGTTTTGAATTTACCTTTTTCGAAAAGCAGCGACGCGCCTTGTACGGAAATCTAGCAATTCCTCGCGAGCGCGCGCCGATAGCTGCTCAAATCGAGCGCATGCGTCTGCTTGCACTTGCTCTGCCTAAATATTTAAAAATAAGTCAAATCTTCATTTCCATTGACGTCACCAGGGGGAGGAAGCGAAAGGGGGGGGGGAAGAATAGAAAAACATAAGATAGATATAAAAATTACTTTGGATAAGTCTAAAGTAATAGATGCTACCATCTCTCCTTATTTACGATTTAGACTATACTAGAAATTTGTTGCATAATGTTTACAAATAAATCTTATAAATTCCACCATACACGAACTGTTTTGTAGTCGGTAGAAATACAGCAGTCCGTGTATTGCGGTTTTAATGGAATATTATGTGAGACAAGCGGGTAAGGTGATCAAAGCGTGTTACCTCTTGCACCTCCATCGGCTGAGTGAGCGGGAAAGTAATCATTATGTGAATAGTACACAAAACAATTTGTGAAAAAGAATATGTATAAATTGATACAAATAATGTTTACATGGACAATATTTTATATAAAAAGTATTACGCTTTTCAAATATCTTGGCGGCTCAAGGTCCGTATTGTCTCCCCGCACCGCACTACGTCCCATCACACGTAAAATAGCCCTCTGTGCAGCGACTCGTGTGAAGTTAAAAACAGCCAAGATATATGAAAACTATAATTTAAAGAATTAATTTATAATTGTCTTTCTCTGTTAAAAAAAATCGTAATTGTTATATGTGCAGTGAAATATGAAGTTAAATGGTTGAAAAGATTGATTAATTGCTTTCGGTTAATGTGTTTAGTAGAAGTGTATAAAATATAGTGTGTTTCAATTGTTAATAACTTACTGCATGAACATCCTTATTCTTTGCTCGAGCGCGCTCCAAGTTTCTATTCGCTGCTTCATAAGCTGCCAGACATCTAAAACAAAGTATATATAATGTTACCGGGAATTTAAGTTGGCACTTCGGCTGTATTTGTACTCTTACACCTTACGTGCCAATTTAAATGCTGCTAATCTAACTCACCTCAGTCTCCGGACGAGGACGGCTTTAGCGGCGTGAGCATCACGCATGTAGTACCGCAGGGTGTCTGCCAGTTTTAAATCCTGGTCTGACGCCATACGACCTTCAATTTTCTATAAAGTACCAGCAAATATTAAAATAGTACAGAAAAAGAAATTTATTATATGGAAATAGAGGTATTGTCCCCAATTTGTCTCTGCGACCAGAGGTCTTCTGAAACCATGATATTGATGGTATTTAACACAGATTATAACTCACTAGCTATTGCTCGTTACATCGTCTGCGTGGTATTAAAAAATAATATATAATATACTCTATGTTACTCACAGATAAAATACCTCTAATGGTGAAAGAATTTTCGAAATTGGCTCAGTAGTTTTTGATTTATTTCAATACATAAAAAAATACAAATCTTTTCTCTTTATAACATTAGTGTAGATAGTATAGATTTAACATCTAGTCATTACGGTGCCCCTTAGTGTAGTGTTGCATACTAAATGTATACTATTATGAAAGAACTACTCGACTCAAGTATATTATAAAGTGTTAGTAAAAACAGAAATAGTTGTAATAAAAGTAATCACCCTGCACTTCTCGAATGTCTCAGAAGCGCGCGTGAGGAAGCGCTCAGTGGCAGGCTGCTCGCTGGTGCCGAGCTGCGTCAGGCATGACGACAACTTGATGTGTGCGTCCGCTACCTCTGTACATGCACCATCTTGTATTACTACTTTACATCATCATCACCAGCTCACTATACATCCCTAGTGAGGGGCTCGAAGCCCTAAGTTTGGGTGACTAGCCATAGTCAACCACGCTGACCCACTGCGGATTGACTTCACACATGTATTTGAATTTCTTTACAGATATGTCCAAGTGTCGTAACGATATTTTATTTCTCCGAAAGAACGTCGGGTAAATTATGTACATATGAAATTCGAAAAATCGAAAATCACGTTAGTAGACTAAATAGAGCGCGCGCACACCTTTGACTAAACTTTTGCACAACTATTTAGTCTTTGTCCTGTGAGTTTCTATGGTGCGCACACTACTCGATTTTTATTTGTGCAACCAAACAGTGGAATTGTCTGTGTAACAATCGACAATCGAAAAACAGTTGTGCGATAGTTTAGTCAAAGTTGTGAGCCCACTCTTTATCATTGTGATAAAGACATGTGTAAGACTATCTTAAATGATAAGGCCACATTAAACTTAAAATTCCATTAAAATATTGACATACAAAGTGATTAACATTTGTTTCAGCCGATAATAACTCATATTAAATTTTACTTCTTATAAGAGCTTTATCTTTCAACATTTTATTACAAAGTAAAAGTTTAGTTAATTCTCACCCTTATGTTTGGTTGTCATACGGTCGACTTTAACAACAGCTTCTTTGAGATGTGAATAGTATTCTTGTAGGAAAGCAGTTTCCTGTTCAAAGAAGTCATTGACGTCACGTACGGTCGCGCCCAAGTAGATCTCATCTGTTGTTGTTGTCATAGACCTCATCTATAAACATGATATAAAGAACTACCATAGATAAAATTAAACACAGTAATTAGTCTTATCTTCATATCCATTCTAGCATTTGCCCGCGACTCTGTCCGCGTGGAATTACTAAAACAAAAGGGAGTATGTGTTCTTCCATGCTATCCTCTACATATATACTAAATTTCATCAAAATACATTCAGCCGTTTACGCTACAAGCTCTAACAAATATACATTCATCCATCTATCTCAACTTTTGCATTTATATGACACATTTTTGTGTAAATACTTGTGGAGTCTAATATCAACTAAAAAAATTCGTGATAAATTAGTGAAAGAGAATCGTACCAATCCACCAATAAGGTCCATTTTCCCTCGAGGCTTAGCACATAGATCCTGCTCGTATTCCAAAAAGACACGTAAATGAGCATCATTCCTGAACACCGGGTGAGCAGCGAGACGCTGCAGGAATACTTCATGCATCGCTACGGTTTTCTTGAATGTTGCCAGATATTCACTAAAACATACAATATGAAAATAAGATATTTTCTTTTATACAGTATATTAAAAGTAACTGCAGATAGATGTAATAGACAATTATAAATTTACTTTGCTTTTTCATTTTGTTAAGGAATGTGTTGGTTTGGGAAATACTGCTACTTCACACCATTTTGTGTGTTCCATACATTATAAATCTGATTAATGTGTGAATTACAATATTAAACAGTTTTTTTTATAAATAATATCTATGATAATAGCACTCACTCCTCTAACTCTTCCTTCATCTTGAGGAACTCCTCTCTTGTTAGCGCACCCTCCCCTTCTCCGAGGCGCTGAAGCTTTTCACGGGATGCATCAAAATCTGGTCTTGGTGGTGCTGGGGGTATCTGAATAGATATATATTTTTAAATTTTGTAGAAAAACAAATTAATACTGGTCACAAAAAAAAGATTAAAAGAAATAACCTTTACGGTCATCAACCTTTTTAATTGAACTAAATTGTATTAAGACTCACAATATAACCAGCATATTCCTCATTCTCTTCATATCTATCATGGAGCCAAACAAACTCTTCATGCTGACGCACTACCGAAAATTGTGACTTCTGAAATTCTGGTAGAGTTGTTTTTGTATGGACAGAAAATTTCACCTTCTCTTTTTCACTAAGAGCATCTGAAATATCTACCTGTGGAAACATTATTATAGATATAATTTACCAAATAAATACAAACTCTGAAACTAGGTAAAAATGTTTAATAACTTAGATTTTAGACTGGGAACCTACTGCAATTAGTATGTCTATTATAAAGTTTACTAATTAGTGCTAAGTAGTGAGTTGAAATACTTGATGTTTGATTCACATAACTAAAGATGGTTTCTTCAAAATTAGTACATAGTTACAATTTAACTTGAAAAAATTAAATCAATTGCTTAAAAGTAATAAAATAAACACAACAAATCAACTTACTAATAAGCTATTATCGGCTAAGGATACATTTTCATTGGGCTTCTTTTTTTCAAGCTTAGTATCCACAGAGGCAGGGGATGTAACTGCTGGGGCTGAGAGGGGATCATGGTTGGTTTCTTCCACACAGTCCTGAAACAAATACATAAATATTATTTTATAATATAGCTATATTACAATAACTCTGAATCTAATTCAGTCATTAACATGTATGTATAGAGCTATTCCATAAATTTAGTCTCAAGAATTTGTAGGTTGTTGATTTGTCATTCACAAACAGTGATCGGAAGTTATGATGCAATAAATTACTTATGACTGTACCAGAATTGTTTCATTATGACCATTCTGAATTCGTTCATTATGTCTAACATAGATAAGTAGAGATTGCTTCATTTTATTGTTTTACAAGTAAAGAAAATTACATAGATATTTCTTGAAAAGTAAATTAACATAAACGTAATTGATTGTGTCTATATAGAGTTTGGAAATAAGCAAAAGACGTTATTGCTGGATAATAATGTTGACTAATATTACATCTTTACTCGTCGAAATCCACGTCACGAAATAAGTCTTATTAGAATACAATAAGCACTAACTTGAGGAAGAAAATACCTACTTGATGTCTATTTTGCAAAGAATATTATTCACATTTAATAAGTGTTGACAAATTATTATTATCGTATTTAAATTAAGTTTGCTAGATGTTGGTTACGCCCCCTAATGTAATTAAGAGAACAATGATTTAAATTATTCTATAACAATCTTACCATCATTTTATAAGCACGTATGAGATGCCGGTCGTGAAATTTATTATATAAATTGCACCGTACTGTAATTATCTAAAACACTATAAAGCACTTTCTAGTTTCAGCTAAACAAAAAACAAATTAAATGGACAAGACAAATTGTCAAAAGTCAATCAAAATCAGTCAGTCAAGGACTAGGGACGTTCAATCAGATAACGATTTTATGCCGATATTGATGTTTAACTAGGGCTGCAAAAAGAGTCTGGTTTCAATACTTTCGGTAGTTTTTGGACAACTTCACGTTGTAAGAAAATCAAACATTAACATAGTAATTTATGAGAAATTAGTTAGATATTGTATTTAATTCTATACATAAGCGATAGATAATAAGAAAAATTAAAATCAATATTCTAGTTTGGAACAATATAAAACTCCCAAATTAAGTTTTTTATTCATGTCGACAACACTCAAAACTACGGAAATCGAAGGACGAAAATGGAATCGCGCAAAATACTTGTTGTTTATAATTTATTTAATTGAAAAACATATACTATTTCTACGAAATGGGTACGCAAAAACCTGGAGAATGGGCAAATTCACTGATAGCACGATTCGAAGAGCAGGTAAGTTTTTTCGTGATCATTTAATTTTATTTTTGACCCACCCTAAAAATTAATATTTTCTTTAATTATGTAAACAATGTTGAACTTTTATTTCTTGCCTTTTTTAAAATCATTTAAATAATAGTTTCCGATTTTGTTATGGGCTTAGAATTTATAAACATGTAAAACTTTCATTTATCTTCCACATCTTGTATTGCCGCCTACACAAAGATTAAAGTATGAATTATTGATCAGTGTCGCTAAAACTACTGGATATTTCATACTTAGCAATTTAAAATTACTTACAGTTATCGACATGAACAATGCAATGTTCAGAGATGTGTAATTAATTAATTTACTAATTACTGTTTCACACCAAATAAAATATTTTAATGTTATAGAGTACAAAGATCCTTTAACACAGACATATAAAATTTCAGCTTCCTTACAAGACTGGGGCTCAAAACCTTCATTCTCGAATCAATGAAGAACAATGTAAGGCTTGCTTGGTACAGATAAGTCGAAATCGATTCTCTCTGGTCATAGCTGGACTTACAAAGATATTACAAAGAGTCAATGAATTGGTAAGTATACAATCTATTATATATCTAATATTCATATACATATTGTACCTAATCTTATACTTCAACTAACAGACACTGAATGAAGTAATAATGTCCACTCATTTACTTTATAAAAGTAGATTTATAAGTTTGTAACTAATTTATTTCTTTTTCTCGTCACCTTATTTCACCTTTCATAAGTATCAGCCAACAATATCAACTTGTGTGAACCGGCCACAGACAGAGCTGGAGAAAGGCTACCATGACAGTCTTGTAATTGTTCTGGATACATTAGAAATCTGCCTTAGTTCACAACCTAAGGATACAACGAAATATGATGAAGCTATGAATGTTAAAATACTGCTAAGGGAGGTCTGCCAATTTATTGGTAAGTGATTTGTTAAAGCAATTTCATTTAACACTATCATAAGTTCACATTGTTGATGTTATCTCTTTTTTATAAATGGGAATGAGGGAGATGACAGTATGATATATGTTTTGTTTTACATTTAGAAATGTTTAAATGTTCTTTTTCTCTTCAAAGATCTTTTTTTTTCTAGATATGAGGAATGAAAGTAATATCAGCAACACATTGTTGAGGCAGCTATCCAGTAAAGTGCTCTTTGCCTTGAGTCTAAACTTTTTTAGTGCTGTCTTCAATAGAATTAGTGCCCGGTTACAGGTAATTATTTATTTTATTTAAAATTTAGTAAAAAGTACTGTAAATAATATTAATTTTATAAGTATTAATATTTTATGTACTCAATTTTCATATAGATATTTTTTCTTTTTCATATAGGAGTTGGCATCTAGTTCAGAAGAAAACCCTGATTACACAGATATAGAATTAATACAATACATAAATGTGGACATATTGAGGCTTATAAAACTGTTAACAGGTATTGAATAATCTCATTTTAGATATATCTACTCTTAATATAGACTCTTCGTAAGCTACTATAATTAATGACATTTACAGAATCCATACAGAAATTTAAATTACTAAGAAAATCCGCACACATAGTGCTGGTTTCCTCCCTTGAAAAGGCCATATGGAATTGGATGGACACCTATCCACAGGTAAGCTTTGCTAAGCAAGAACTTGCACTGACACTTGGTAAAAATAATGTAATCCCTTACCTTCTAATAAGGCTTTGTCTCGAAACCCATATTTACCAAAATCTACATGATAGCAATAGAGCCATCAGTGATTCATCTAAAATTGGTGAGCAGATTACTGGCTCACAGATCTTTTAAATTTGTTCAAGTTTATGTTAATATTGGCCTATATCTAGCAGATTTTCACATGACTATCACTTCAATACTACTAGAAATAATTTTAATTGTCTAATAGTAGCGGTCTCCTAGTAATTGACTACAACTAAATGTTTTGTATGTTAGGAGTTTGCGGAAGTGCAGTGCCGGCCTAACGAGGAGCTGAGCAAGTGCTGCGACACGCTGTTCGACCTTCTACAGGACTGCTTCTCTGATAACAAGAAGTCGCGCGTCGCCATGTGGCCGCTGCAGATCATGCTGCTACTCTTGAACCCTGTTAGTACCTGATCACCAGATCACCAGGGTTTAGAAAAACTATTGAATGAGTTTCAGGGTTCACCTCTGATGCAAAACAGGAACGACACCATTCAAACACTACACATTTAGATTACTAATAATTTTGGTGAAAAATATTCTACAAAAAAAGTAAAGATTTTCATGATATGTGTAGACAATTAAAATGAATTCTTTTTTTTTGTAATACATAAATCTAATTTCTAAGATGAGTTTTTTAAATTGTAATTGTAATTGTTTAACACATTACAGAAAGTTCTAGAAGAAATAGTGAACGCAGACAGTGGCGCCCCCTGCAGTCCGCGACACACAAAGAAGAAACATTTTATAGATTCTGTTAAAAGAGGACTTAGTAAGTTGAACTATTTTATTAAGATTATGTTATAATTAAAACATTTTTGGGTATTCGTGAGTTAGTAAACACACAAGATAATCTTTGTTAAAAAGATTAAATTTAGCGTAGCAAAGTGAAGCCGATGATAGAACGACCGAATAATTATTTTCTGTGAGCAATTCAATGCAATTTTATACATTTTTTTTACACAGGTCCACAGAACAATTCTAAGCAAATGACGGAAGCGGCGGTGGTGACTTGCGTCAAACTATGCAAAGCCTCCACATATTTGAATATTGCTGACTCAGGAAATGTCACTTTTATACTTGTCAAGTCTGTTATCAATGATCTCAAGGTATTATTCTATGAAATATTTATCAATTTATTATTATTTACTTAACAAGAATAATTTTACAAATTACAATCACTATTATTGTTGTGTCTATGTTGCTTATATTTTTTATCATTATTACTTTAAAAACGAACAAAATTTAGTTGTACATTATGACCATTTCTAATCATCTGCATTTATTTATTTTTTAAATTCAGAAATATTGTGCTCATGTCTAGACCTAAACTCCTATAAGGAGCCTATTTAATCACAAAATTTATTTTCCAGTCACTTTTATTCAATCCATCGAAGTCATATATTCGTGGGAACTTAATATCCGGGTATTCTGAACTGGATCTGATGACGGATTGCTTCGTGTCCTTATTCCGTATAATGCCGCACAACAACGACGCACTCAAAGTCTGTCTTAATCTAAACGCACATATATCTTACCACTATGTTATAGTTAATTCATTACTCAGGTGAGTTTGTTAATATTCTTTTATATTAAAAAATGAAACTGGTTCTCTCTATCTATCTATCTATCTATCTATCTATCTCTCTTTCCCACATTGTGGTGTTAGTTTGCTAAGTAAATTTCTTCCACTTCGTTCTATCCCCGGTATTCTGAAGTGAAAATTAGTACTCGCAATGTAGTTGACTGAACACAGTAAAAATAAAAAATGTCTTTTAAAGCCGCGGTAATACTCGGACAATAACTTATCTATTACTTGTTGTGAAATACTTTGTTATATACTTGATAATTTACGTGAACTGACAAAATTTTTTAGAATCATAAAACAGCCACGCCTGCCATGGTGGCCGCAAATAGAACTGCTCTATCCGAGAGCTGCGGAACTGAGAGCGATGTTCACGGATACACTAAATAAGGCCACACAAGTATGTATACCCATTTGAGTTGGCACGTCGCAAATATGAGCACTCTTTTGTTTGACGTGCCATCTCGTTAATCAAACTGAAAGATGTTTGTTTACCAACATATCTTTCATACCAGTACAAATGTGTACATCTTTATGTTACAGGGTTATATTGTACATACTCCTCTTAGAATGATATCATTGTCTTTAAAATCAAAGGAGGTTCAATCGAAATTCAACAAATCAGAAGAAATGCCTGCGTATAGAAATCTTTTATTATGTTTGGTGAAACTGATACATGCTGATCCTATGTTATTGCTCAGTGTAAGTTTGTATAATATGTAATAAAAAGTTTTTTTTTAGTCTATATCGGAAACATCACTAACATCTGATAAAAAAAAATGTTTACAGAACCCAGGACGTTCCGGTGTAGAAATACAATCATCGACAACGGAGTTAATAAACGGTTTAGTATCGTTAGTCCATCATACTGGTATGGGAGAGATCTCACAGGAGGCTATGGATGCTCTACTAGCCCTGCACAGACCTGATAGAGTCACCATGTGGAACCCCGAAGCACCACTTAATACTTTCTGGGATATTAGGTGAGTATATTTTGAGGTGCAATAACTGTAAGTGACTGCGCACACTAGTGACTAAAATATCGCACAATTGTTTAGTTGCGCTTTGATTCTTGTGATCTTATATGGAGGCTGCACTACCCTATTTTTAGTTGTGCAACTAGACAGTTGAATTGGCTGCGAGACAATCGCACAACTGTTCTGCGATAGTTTAGTCAAAGGTGTGCGCTTGCTCTACCCTGTCGATAAAGGCTTCCAAACTATAGATTTTATTTATAACTGCAAATGTAGTCAGTGTTATTTGCTGAAATTACCACATTTTTATCGATTTAAGAGTTGTGACGTTTGTAATATAGCATGATTTCATATACAATTTGTTAAAACGCATTGTCATCTATCATAACTTAAAACAATACAAAATTATTTCCAGTTCGCAAGTTCTCTACAATATAAGTCAAAAGTTGATCCAGCGTCAGATCGGCAACTACCGTGAGGTGCTGCGTTGGCTGCGAGACGTACTTACTTGTCGCAATGAGTTCCTGGCTAAACACAAGGACTACGCCAACGTCGGCTCACAGATACCGATATGCAAACAAGCACATATCAAGCTAGAAGTAAGTTAATACTTACAAGGTCTTACATAGTTTAGTCATAACATATTAACGTTCATCAAAAGATATTACCACCACCCTGAGACAAATACTACATTTACGGACGCCATTTATCGAACGAAACACTTCGTAATATCGCTTACAATCCGAGGGACGTTGAAATTTTATCGTAATTTGAGTTTAAACTTGATATGTCGTTTCAGTATCCTGCCGTGAGAAATATAAATAAACTACAATAATGTAATTCCTTGCAGGTGGTGTTCTTCATGTGTCTGTGGTCAATCGACACGGACGTGGTGTTGGTGGCGATGTCGTGTTTCGCGCTGCTCTGCCAGGAGGCGGACATCCGCTGCGGCTCCGACGAGATCAGCACGCACTGCTTGCTGCCGAACTACGCCGTGTTCCAGGAGATAGCGCATACTTCCACTGTATTAACTACTGGTAAGGTTATATGGTCAAATTGACCATATGACTCTGATACGTTCTAGTAAAAAGTGATTTCAAAGAATATTTTGAGAACATTTGCGCTCTATCCTTCTGCCGCGTCTTCACTTAGCTTAGGTGGAATCGTGGTCAAGCGTTGGTTTATTTATGTGAAAAAAAAAAACTAACTTTGAATATACTTCCGCAAGAGGGTATCGGACAATGTAGAGCTCTTGTAAGAGTTTTTAATATTATCAACCATAATTTAGTTATGACAAAAGCCGTAGTCGATTAAATAGTTACAATCATTATAGTAGACATCTTTTTATTAGAAAAATATTATTGTAAACGTATGCTATTCTATTTTAAGCAGCCAGCCAGGATATGGGACGAGGTTGCTATTATAAAAATATCCACAGTAAGTATTCTTATGATCGAAAATAAATAAGCAAGTATACTAAAGACAAAAATTACATTCGAATTCAATTAGAAATGGATATTTTTTGTGTGAAATATAAGAAGAGTAACATGAAATACTACTGTTAAAAATTATATTTGATTTATTTGAAGGCTCAGCCGCTCTACAGAAGCGAATAATGGCATTGCTGAGGAAGATAGAACATTGCGTGAACGGCGTACAGCCGGTTTGGGAGGAGACTTTTAGATGTTGGTAAGTTTCTATCGACAACTAGCTGTTTCCTGCGACTTCGAGCTAAATTAACAAAACGATAACGTAACTTTTAATAGGTTAAAGAATTCTTGAAATCGTCCCAGTAGCTTTTGTTATTCCAATGCATACAAAAATCTAAATCTTTCCTCTTTGTAAGATTAGTACAGATATTGATATTTTCGTTGTAACCATTGTTAAATTGTCTTTTTTTTATTGATATTGAATTGTGACTCATGAAAGGTATATATCTTTAGGGATTCTCTATGCAAGCTGCTACAGAAGTACCCTAAAGGTCAAAGCGAGCGGCCGGAGGAGCCCCCGGAGCCGCTGCACCGCGCCGTCGCCAAGCGCCGCGTATCGCACCACACCAGCAGCGAACACGACTTTGAAGTAATTGTTTTTTTATACTTTTATGAGGGATGAATCATATGTAACAAGAAGGACGTAAGTTAAGAGTGTTGTACACCGGTAGATGTAGTCGTAGAAAGAGATGGATGTATTGCGTGAAAGGTGACATGATCAAGAACGGAGTAATATCTGAGATGACGTATGATAGTTATGTTTAACGGTGGTAGAGCCCGCTTTAACATCTTCGCACGAATGGGTCGGCTCGCCCGGTGTAATACCACGACCACACAGAAAACAGGCGTGAAGTGGAGGTAATTCCGCTTTTCGGCTGATGAGTGTGGTGCCGAAGGCCCAAATTTAGTCCCTTTCCTCCTCACCATTTTTCTTATAAGAAAAGGATGGGAAGGGAACGTGGATTCGACGGTGGAGAAGACGCATAGGAAGGGGAAATATCCTGTTTATGTGCGTCTCCTTCGTCGATTAAGGGTAGGCAACGCATCCTCTATTGCGGATGTTTATGGACAGCGGTAGCTTCGCCATTTCGGCGGATTCAGGTGGCCGCTTGCTAGTTTGCCACCTTGTGATATAAAAAATAAAATGTGTAGGACGAAAACCCGGTGCGTCGACACTACAGGAGTACTATTTAATATGAGAAATAAACCACAAATTGTTTAAATAACCGTTTAAATTATTTACAGATGCAAATTCAAGAATGGGCTAATATAACATCTTTTCTATGCGCTTTGGGCGGAGTCTGCTTACAACGGCGACCTTCCACCGTATGGTCACATCTACATGGTCTTGGTATGCCACACACCTTTTACTGTTTTTTTTTAAATGATATATTACTTTAATATTTGATATAAACTTTGTTATTTTGTTATAGATACGCGAAAATACAATGTCTTGGCAAACAGCTCTCAGGAGGTTCAATACTGTCCCGTAACACAGTAAGTTACTTTTTTCTTAAAAAGAGGAAGTACAGTAAAGTACCCACCGAGGCTCATATTGCCGAAACACCCTTTATAAAAAGAGGATATTTGTTTATAGTTATTTGCAATAGAGTGTAATTGTTCATTGTAAAGATATCTTACTAATATTCTAAATGCGAAAGTTTAGATGGATGGATGGATGGATGTTTTTTACTGCATATCTCCAGAACAGTTTAACGACTTCCGCTGCATTTTGGTAATGACGTAGAACATAGATTGGTAAGACACACAGGCTACTAAGTTTTGTTTATTTCTCGGAAACGGAGTCGCAGGCGATAGCTATGTGTGAAAATATGAAAAATTTTTACATTCACTCTCATTTTTTAATAATATCGTGTATAAATATATTCTTTTCAACAGATTTATCGGTCAACTACTCCGCTTACTATTGTGTAGTAATGAACGATTTGGTCAACAAATACAAACTCATGTGAAGGGACTGGTTGGTCACGAGATGTCGCCCGCTTTGTATCCTATACTCTTTGATCAAATCAAAGCTATTATTGATAAATTCTTTGATCAACAACAACAGGTAAAATAAATTATTATTTTGAAGAAATAAATAAATAAAAAATCTCTCTTTGTGTACAGAAATATTTCTTTAACAGTAATACTAAAAGGCTTTTGATTACATAAGTATTTTACATGCTTTATATTTTACTTGTATTAATCAATCTTTCACTATTGAAGTTTTTTTTTCTTGTTTTTATTATAGGTAATGCTGACTGATATTAACACACAGTTCGTAGAGCATACGATATTTATAATGAAAAGTATTTTAGACAACAAGAAGACAGGTCAACCGACGGAACATTTGAGCACCACTTCTATTGAAGGCCTCATGCTGGCTATAGTCAAGTATGTCATAATAACATACATTATAAATGCAATAACAATCGCACTCAGAGTCGTTAAGTATTAATTAACGGTATCTTTAGAAACCAATTAACAACTATAGATGGTTTATCATTAGTTTGGATTTTTAAAACAAAATCTTCACTAAGGTACTTTCTAAATAATGACTTTGAGTGTGTAATTGAAATGTGAATTTCAGATACGTCCGCCATCTAGATATGACAGTTCTATCTGTGCATATAAAGACCAAGCTCTGTCAAGTTGTGGAAGCTATGATGAGCAGAAGAGACGACCTCGCCTTTAGACAGGTAAATTCAAATAAAAATTAAGCTATACAATTTATTAGAGTTACTCATTTGTTGTGTAATGTTATCAAATTCATTCATTTTTATGTTAAAGAATAGTTTTAGTGTGTTCAGTTTTCGTAAGGAAAGCAAACTTATGGTTTACGGTGATATTCTCTGACGTCAGACGTATCTTTATCGATCTGTTTATATATTAATTTGACGTTCTAGGAGATGAAATTCCGCAACAAGATGGTGGAATACGTCACAGACTGGGTACTTGGCACCAGTCATCAGATATCACCGCCATTACGACCAGATGCCACTTCTATATCAAGGTACGTTTACAGTTATAATTACAATTTAACTCTCAATTTAGATGAAATTTCTGTACATTGATTTTCACAGAACATATATTCCACTATTGTATTACTTGGATATTGTTGTCTTTTGTTGAAAACCTTTAGTAACGACGTATGTATTGCTATCTCTGTTCATTTCAATAAGAGTGAGTGGGATGACAATATGTAGATACCTGGTATGCTGTCGCGAGCTGGACCAGGCGTGTATGGAGGCGGTGGCGGCGCTGCTGAAGGGTCTGCCGCTGCAGCCCGAGGAGTCCGACCGCGGAGACCTCATGGAGGCCAAGAGCCAGCTATTCCTCAAGTTAGTGTGTTTTATAAATAACGAGCTCCCGTGCTGCTTCATCCGCCTTAAATTATAAAAACTTTATTTTATTGTTTTTATTGATAAAAATTATCAATAGCAAATTTCAAAACTCAAATGCACAAATGACAATGAAGGCCTTTGACATTGGATAAGAATTACCGTTACCATAGCAACCTTGCTTCTTTTATGTTGTCAGCTTGTAGTTTTCGTCCTGTTCCCGCATTACGGTTTTTGCAAATTATTTACTACCTAGGTTTAATAATGTGGAAATATGTAGCCTAAAGCATGTCGTAAGTGTAGGGTTTTTTTTAATTAATAAAAAGGAATTATTCAAAAATATACTGTGATTGCTTACATCCTACGTAACTAAGTAATGTGTGTTAACGCTTTATTATATCAGTATAGAAGTATAGATATAAATGAAGACGATGATGTCGACGACGACGATGACGGTGATGATATCTAACTTTCTCAATCTGTTAAAAATTAAAATAACAAATGTTTTACAGATACTTCACATTATTCATGAACTTACTGAACGATTGTAACGAGGTGGAGATGGCGGAGGGTCCCGGCAGGCTGGAGGCGCTGCGGAATGCAACCATACAAGCCATGTCCAACTTGCTCAGTGCTAATATTGACTCCGGTCTCATGCATAGTATTGGTAAGTGCAGATTTCCACTGAAGTATTTGTAAAAAAAAAGTGTCAGCTTGTTCAAAGAATTCTTTTCAAATACAGGTAGGTAATATAGGTAGTTTTACAGACATGGTAAAAACGAGTTTATGCATTTTTTTTACATGCTTTGTTGTAAAATTTGATGGCCTTTTGTTTAAAACAGATTCCAAAACAATTTCTTGTAGATTACATTTAAAATGTTACTAGTTTCTTTGTAGACTCCCCCTTACTGCTTCGTAAATGCCCTCTTGCTCTTCCGTGGTGTAACATAGACCAATTTTGGGTTTAAAAAGTATTATAAATCATCAATAACTCTTCAATCCATGTATTCTAGACCTCGGGTACCACCGAGACCTGCAGACGCGCGCAGCCTTCATGGAAGTGCTGACCAAGATCCTGCAGCAGGGCACGGAGTTCGACACCCTCGCGGAGACCGTGCTCGCCGACCGCTTCGAACAGCTCGTGCAGCTCGTCACCATGATATCTGATAAGGTATACTATCTTCTATTTCTTTTTTAGATGATAAGGAAACTGTATACCATCAACATCCTTGCTAGTATTTTCGTATAGAAGAATCGAAGGTATAAAATACATATAATTCTACTAAGAAGCTTAATAGTAGTTCCCCCTTTTTATTTTATAACATAAGATGGCAAACACGCAAGCGGCCACCTGAATCCTCCAAAATGACGAAGCGACCGCTGCCCATAGAAATCTGCAATTGCAGATGCGTCGCCTACCCTTATCCGACGGAGGAGGAGACGCACATAAAGAGGATATTTCCTCTTCCTACGCACCTCCTCCACCGTCAAATCCACTTCCCCTTCCCATCCTCTCATAAGAAAAGGGTGGTAAAGAGAAAGGGACTTAAATTGGGCCTCCGGCACCACACTCATCAGACGAAACACGGCATTGGTTTCATTTCACGCCTGTCTTCTGTGTGGTCGTGGTATTACACCGGGCGTGCCGGCCCTGCAGTGCTAAGATGTTAAAACGGGCACTACCACTTTCCCTAGATCAAGTCTATATAGATAGATCTACAACTGGTGACCCCTAAAATCGATAAAATTTATCTATTTTGATGATCAAAACTAGGTCAGAACTGAAGCCATAAAACTTAAGTATAGACTTGCTATAGTAATGTTATTTTGTCGCTTCTGTTCATGTTAACCGCTTTAGACATTATCACATACTAATATCGATGGTTCAAGTATAATGTTTAATAATTTTACGTTTATTATCAGGGGGAGTTACCGATAGCGATGGCACTGGCTAATGTAGTAAGCAATTCACAAATGGACGAGTTAGCGCGCGTCTTCGTCACATTGTTTGACGCCAAACATCTGCTCGCGCCGTTACTATGGAATATATTCTATAGAGAAGTCGAGGTAAACGCCTTTATTTTTTTTAAATATTTTTTTTTTGTTAATTCAATAATAATATTATAGAGAAATGATTTGTATTTTTGTATGTATTGGAATAACTCAAAAACTACTGGGCCGATTAAAAAAATTATTATTAAAGACTATGTTATAACTGAGTGCCATAGGCTATGTATTTTTTTTACTTTTTTTTTTAATTTTACGTGGACGAAGTCACGAACAATAACCAGTTAACTGTAATGTGCTCTTTTATCCCAGGTAACGGATTGCATGCAGACATTATTCCGTGGAAACTCTCTAGGCAGCAAGATAATGGCGTATTGCTTCAAGATATACGGCTACGGATATCTACAGTCTCTGTTGGAGCCACTCATATCGACTTTACTTGACCAAGCAGATGAACAGCCAGAATTAAGTTTTGAAGTCGATACTGCAAGGTAAGTTTTCTTCAATATAAGGTCAAGGACTTTAAAAAGTATTTATGTCTTTAACACGAAAAATCCTTTAAGGAGTATTCATAATAAAACATGTTATAATTAATTATAAACTCAAGTAATAACGTTATTCCAATTTTATTTTTGTCTGTGAGGTTGAGGTTTTGATTTTTAATTATCATGTGCTTCGTTTGTAAAACAGATGTTAATGTATGAATTGAATGATTATGAAAACTGATATTGTTGCAGACTTGACCCCAGTCAAGACATTGAGGTCAACCGCTCCAACTTGATAGAGTTGACAAAAGAGGTTTTCGACCGTATCGTCAATTCCGCGGACAAATTCCCGCCTCAACTGCGCAGCATGTGTCACTGCCTTTATCAGGTATTTTAAAGTTGACTCCTATTTAATCTATTTTTTGCAATTTGATTATTTGATTTGTATATTTATTGGTATTCATTCATTCGTAGGTTCTGAGCAAACGTTTTGCTCAATTCCCACAAACAAGTGTTGGTGCAGTGGGAACAGTTTTGTTTTTGAGATTCATCAATCCTGCTATTGGTAAGTTAAAAAAAATGTTTTAAATTGTTACAAAATCGCATATTTTGGTTAAAATTATCGCTTTGTTTAAGTTGTTATAAGCATAAAAATGTGGACGTAATTGGTCCTTCGAGTCAGATTTTTTAAAAAATTTATATATTATTCTATTTTTTGTTATAGTTTCCAGTTTAAATATTTATAATCGTTATATTTTAGTATCGCCGCAAGAAATGGGTATCGTAAGTCGTCCTGTGCCGTCGCAAGTGAAGCGCGGTTTGATGTTAATGTCCAAGATCCTGCAGAACATCGCGAACCACGTTGAATTCTCAAAGGAACAACACATGCTGCCATTTAATGATTTCCTACGAGCTCACTTTGAATCAGGAAGGAAGTGAGTGTAAAAAAGAATTACTTTTGAGTATTAAAGATCAAATGATTTCTCATCTAACATTCTTACTATCCCTTTCTCTTTCACTCAAGAGAGATAGACCTCTATATCTATCTCTCCACCACTCTTTTACTTCTGTAGAGTTGCAGAACCTAGCGGTGTTCCACTGTAAAAGCTGCAATAGTTTGAACATTTTGAATCGACACGCGAAATAAAAGTCAATACAACGGAGCCTATAAATGTATCTGTTCGAAAAAAGTCTGTTAGTGATAAGTTTGCACTCACTATCTAATTAGATATTTGTAGGTAGAGACGGAGTTAGTCTAGTTGTAATGAACAATGTAATTTTTCTTGGCAACACCGCGGATTTCCGCGACTGTACATAAAATCTGTATCTTTGTAGGTTTTTCATCCAGATAGCATCAGACTGCGAGAGTATAGATCAGACATCGCACAATCTGTCGTTCATAAGCGACGCTAACGTTGTCGCGTTACATCGTTTGCTGTGGAACCATCAGGAGAGGATCGGCGACTATCTGTCCTGTAGTAGGGACCATAAGGCGGTCGGCAGACGGCCCTTCGATAAGGTAACCCGTGCACGATAACATGACACCTTAATCGATGACACAAGATTCTTTCGACCACACTATAATTTAATATAATGTAAATCGTGGTTAAGCACTTAAAAAATTTAGTTTTAAAAAACTAAATTTAATATGGACAGTGACTGATATTTGTAGTGTACATGATTTTCTAGTTGTGGACAGTTCTGTACAAAGTATAAGTCTGTATGACAGACCTTAGAAGTAAGATTTTCTTTGTATGAATTGTAATTCTATTTAAATAATGTTTGCATTTATTGACATTTTTCTACAGATGGCAACACTTCTCGCCTACTTAGGTCCACCGGAGCATAAACCTGTTGAATCGTAAGTCAGATAACATATTTTAAATATATATATACTTTAGAGATGTTTTATTGATCTTTATACAAAATTTCCAGAACGTCAGGTCTTCTGTTCTCGTCGTATGCCCGGTGGTCATCAATAGACATGTCTTCGACGAACTTCGAAGAGTTTATAGTGAAACATAATATGCATGAGAAGGAAGAATTCAAGAGTATAAAGAGTTTGAATATCTTCTACCAAGCCGGTACAAGCAAGATTGGGAATCCCGTGTTTTATTTTATATCCAGACGATATAAGTAAGTGTGTACATAAGGTTTTAATTATTATGATTGTATTTCGACTGCAGTTTTCTCAAATCCTTTTAGAAGTAAACCAATACATTTCTGAATTAGGACTTACAATTTTTATAAAATTCAAAGGGGAAATGTCCTGTTTATGTGCGTCTCCTCCTATGTCAATTAAGGGTAGACAACGCATCTGCAATTTCGGTTGTTTATGGGCAGAGGTTGCTTTCCATTTCGGTGGATACAGGTGCCCGCTTGCTCATTTGCCACCTTATATTATAAAAAAAATAGTTATGTTTTTTCATAGAACTGTGGTAAAAACTCACAATAAAGATATTTATGTAATGTCAAGTAAATTGTTTATTTTTTTATGCAGGATAGGGGAAGTAAATGCGGACCTGCTGATCTACCACGTCATACTGACGCTAAAGCCCTTCTGTCAGCAACCCTTTGAGCTGATTGTTGATTTCACGCATACCAATTCTGACAACAGGTTCAGGTAATTTTACCTATATTTTAAACTATTTATTCAAATGAAAAAAAAAAAGTAGAGTCTTTAATCGAGAAATGTAAATGATACAGTCTCATTAGACTTCATTATCATGAACTTGCCCTTATCCCTTACGTAGGGTCGGCACAGTATGTGCTGCTCTTCCATACATCTCTCTCAGCCTTCATATTTGAATTCACAATCTCATAAAACTTATCGTTAAATAATGTAATATACAGTTAAGGTCATAAAACGAGGATTTCTGATTATCAGATAAAGTTGCATAGAAATAGAACGAAAGTAGAGCTTGTATTGTTTTGTTCTTACATCTTCTTACTGCTATTACAAATGCTAATGTTTAGATGGATGGATGTTTGTATTAAGACGGTTTGATAGATCTCAATGAAATTTAGCACTTATGTTGAACATAGTCTGAAACACATAAGCTACATAGTTTTTTTAATTCCGCGCCGATGGAGCCTCGATTGAAAGGTAGTTTACAATAATTTACTGTTTGGTTTTAGAACGGATTTCCTGCAGAAGTGGTTCAGCGTGCTGCCGGAAGTGGCGTATATCAATATCCACGCGTGCTACATCTACAACTGCAACGGCTGGGTGCGCGAGTACACCAAGTTCCATGAGGCGATACTAGCGCCGTTGCGGGTAAACTCACATCTATACAGATTATACAATACTAAGGGCCTGTCCCACCACTGGCTGATAGAGGCGCAGATAAAGGAACAAAATCCGATATTTCCATCAGACATTTTACACGTTAGATTGTTATTAGACAATTTACAATTTGGTGGGACAGGCCCTAAGAGATACACAACAAAATGAACACAACATTATAAACGCGAATTTGCTGACAGACATGTGTCATGATGACAATGTTTGTTTTTCACATTTAAAAATCGTTTTTTTGTTATAAGCGACACAGATAATGTTCACAAAATATGAAATTATGTTTCGATGTTACACTCCAATTCTACTGTATAGATTTTATATGAAATGCAGCTCCTCTAAGATGAAATTGTGTCGATTTGAAAGACTTTTTTAAAAATTCCATGGTTTATTTCTTCACAGGGAAACCGTAAACTAATATTCATAGACAACCACACACGATTGACCGATTTCGTGGATATTGAACAGCAGAAATTGCCCGGCGCCACTCTCGCTTTAGAAGAAGACCTTAAAGTTTTCAATAATGCGTTGAAACTTTCGCATAAAGATACCAAAGTCGCCATAAAGGTAAAAAAACAAATCCCACCAAATACAGCTTGTCGATATTTTTTTTTATTTTACTTATCTATGTAAAAAAATAAAACTAAAATTTTGATGTTTTATCCACAGGTTGGACCTACTGCCCTACAAATAACATCAGTTGAAAAGACAAAGGTACTAGGCCTGCCGGTACTACTTAATGATGTATACTACGCTTCCGAGATAGATGAGGTATCTTTTCTTCTTACTATCGTATTAATATTATAAATGCGAAAGTTTGGATGGATGGATGTTTGTTAGATTTTGTAGACTAAACTGCTGAACGGATCTCGATGACATTTGACATAGATGTAGACAGTCCGAAAGAACACATAGGCCTCTTATTTTTGCTTCTTTTGAATCACGCTGATGGAGTCGCGGGCGAAAGCTAATAATTTGTATTTTTTATACAAAAAATCGTATCTTTTCAATATCTTAATCTATCATACAGGTTTGTTTGGTGGATGACAATCAATTTTCCTTGTCAATAGTAAACGAATCGACACCTCTCAGCTTCATACACAATGATTGTGATAATATCGTCCAATCTATTATACATATACGAAACCGTTGGGAACTCAGTCAGCCGGTAAGTTATTATATTATTTACACTATTTTACTTTCTTACTAGCATAATAAATGCTGATATTTAGATGGTTGGATGGATATTTGTTGGAAAGTATTTCTAGTAGGGTTCGACAGTTCTCCATGAATCTATGAAGATAAGGAATATAATTAATTCCCCACGTTCGATGTTGCGAACAAAATGTAGTATAAAAGATGCTTTTAAAAAATTACTCACGGTGTATCCAAATAAATCGGTTCAACCAACTTTTGTCTCAGTCTCCGCCCACAAAATTTACGAACACGCCCGTGGTCACGTACATCTTAGTCAGAATAGAAATCTAAAGAGTTTTTTTTTATCAGTAGTGTAAAATCTCACATTAATAAAACATTGTAAACCATACGCAGATTTTGATGTGCAGTTTTTTTTTAAATAAATGACTATATATCCAGCAAGACTCAGTGACAGTACACCAGAAGATACGTCCCAAAGACGTGCCGGGGACGTTACTGAACATGGCGCTGCTCAACCTCGGCTCCTGCGACCCCAACCTGCGCACCGCCGCATACAACCAGCTGTGCGCGCTCACCGCCACATTCCACCTCAAAATAGAAGGACAACTGCTAGAAACATCTGGTATGTTATAATCAATCAGTGAAAGAAATTCCTAAAAAATACATTTTTTAAATTTTACATTTGATAGGTGGCGCTGTTATTAAAAAAAACATAAACCAGAAAGTGTTAAGATTGAATGTGGATGGCTACAAAGGAAGAGGAAGACCGAAGAAAGTATGGATGGATTGTGTGAAAGAGGATATGCTTAAGAAAGGAGTGGATTCAGATATGACGGCTGATAGAGATGTATGGAAGAGCAGCACATACTGTGCCGACCCTCCATAAGGGATAAGGGCAAGTGGATGATGAGGTGGCGCTGTTATTAAAATTATTATAGTGAATAATTTGACAAGTGTTTTTTAGTTTCTACTAGTATTTTTGGTTACAGGTCTATGCATTCCATCGAATAATACAATTTTCATAAAATCAGTAAGTGAAAAATTGGCTCACAATGAACCGCATCTTACTCTTGAATTTTTGGAAGAGTGTATTCAGGTAAATTTTATTTATTTATTTAATGATACATATGTCATTTTTATTTCGTTTTTATTACAAAAGTGTATTTATTGCCAGGGTTTCCGAGGATCTACAATAGAACTAAAACATTTATGCTTGGAATATATGACTCCATGGTTAGCTAATTTAGTTAGGTAAGTTCCTTGATGTAACAATATATACTGGTGTGTATCATAATTATTTAATTAAATAATATTTTTTTCTTTGTCAAAAGATTCTGCAAGCCGTCTGACGAATCCAGGCGACAAAAGCAAGTGGCACAAATACTAGAGAAGTTAATAACTCTTACTATAGAAGAGACGGAGATGTACCCTTCTGTGCAGGCCAAGATCTGGGGCTCCATTGGACAAGTACCCGAGCTCATTGATATGGTACTGGATAGCTTTATACAGAGAAGTGTTAATTCAGGTGAGAATATCATTAAAAAAAATTATTCATTGTTTATTTTTGATTTTTTCCAAAAACTGATATTAGAATATTTTCTTAACACATGTCATGCTTTTCTATAAATGCCTGTCAGGTGAATTAGGAGCATTAAACGTGTTAAAATCTGTTTATATTAGGTCTGGGTTCACCAATGATCGAGATAATGGCGGACACGGCGGTCGCGCTCGCCTCCGCCAACGTACAGCTCGTCTCTAAGAAGGTCATCGGACGCATGTGTCGGGTGAGTGCTCACCTTTACAGTTATAGCCTTGTTACCGCTTCATTTATTTGTTCATTATTGTAGTAAAGCCTATTTATTTGGTAGATTTAATATGTATGAAACAAGCGATTTAAATGTAGTACTTAGTTTTGTAAAAAAAAAATTGTCTCGTGTCCCATTGATTCGTATAATTTCATTTCGAAATTGGGTTTTTTCTATTATAAAAGTTACATGAAAGAGAGGTTATCAAAATTTCTTTTCGCTCTCTCTCTCTCTCACTCTTTCATATCTTACAATATTGTGTATTGTAATTTGTAATGCATGTTTGCATGATTATATGTTATTTGAACATTTTGTAACCATGTAAAAGTAAAAATTACTTTGGAATTAAATTCACATTTTCTTAATGAAATTACAAGTTTGTAAAAACGTTGAAAGTTTAATTTAAAATGTGACGTGTTTATAATATCCCAGCCAATAGTATAATTATTAAGTCCTTTTCGCAATCACTTAATTTAATTGTTTATTAATAAGCTTAGATTGTTAAAATAAAGCTAATCGAAGTCGACATTTATTAAATCATTGGAAAAAATGTAATATTTTAAATATTTGTTGTATAAATATTTGTCGATATCGATAAGCGTGGACAATCTGTGTAAATTTATGTGTCTCCCACAGGCCCTATCCAAACTGCCCAATAATATTCTGGGTCCCGTTACCCCGGCCACTGTGAGTTTTTTCTTTTTAAATTATTTTTATTTGCGTACAGTTTTTTTATATATCAGCACTATTCTAGCTTAATATTTTTTTTGTTTTCTTTTTTGATCTTAGACCTTTTTTATTTAATAGTCAATTTTACGTTGTAGGAATGTATTGGCCGACACAATTCCAAATTCCTGTTTTAATATTACTATAGTCCTCATCCATTTAAACATCTAAGTATTGTGTGTATTTTTAGGTTTTTAATAATATTATTAAGGAGGATGATTAAAAAGCAAAATAAATACAATATAAACACATTCAATGCTTTTAAAATTGTCACGTATTAAAGTCGACTTGCGGATCGATTCTGTGGCATTGAACGTGTTAAAACCTTATTAAATTTCTTGGGATAATTGATTGAATATTTTTATTAAAAGTTTCAACTTTCTTTTAAATTATTATATTTCGTAGGTGGTGGATAAAACTTGTCATTCTCCGACAGCGATGTTAGAACAGCACATGATGTGGGACGATATTGCTATACTGGCTAGATATTTAGTAAGTATATTACACCTCTACTCTGATTTAATTAATTTACAAATGTCTCAGTAACTTTTAAGCTCAGAATCATTATGTGATCATTAAAAATTGTGATATTGTAATTTATTAAGAAACAGTTTGATACTACAGTCAGCTGCATAAATGTGTATACATTTGCCAAGCTATAGAAACGTTTATACGCTTTCCAAAAGAAGAATTCACGTGACCATTAGTATATCTGACCTTGGATGTACATTATTTGCGGATTAGTAAATAAATATGTTTGAAACCGAATTAAATCTATACTAATATTATAAAGAGGACAGATTTGTATTTTTATATGTATTGATATAACACAAAAACTACCGGCCCGGTTTAAAAAAATCTTTTACCCTTAAAAAGGAATTTATCTGTGCATGGGCTATATTTTATACTATTTTTTTTTAATTCATGCTAGCAAGTGTATACTTTGTAGCAATAGTAGGGGCTACGGTTTCAGTAACTCCACGGCTAGCGCGTATTTAATAAGTGGACACCAATGCAGCTGACTGTAGTGTCGACAGTGAGAAGGTACGCGGGATTATTCCCAACCGTCAGCCCGCTCTGTCCTCACGTGGAGACAGATGAGATTAAAAACTTTCATTTGTCCCACCTTTTGCTACAAGGTGACGGTTGCAACTTATATCATAACGGTTCCATCTGTCACATTATTGGTGATAGTGAGATTTAGGTGGGACGGATGAAACTTTATTCTGCCGTGGGGACAGAGCGGGGTGACGGTTGGGTTAATCAGGTATGTGATGTGCAGCTGATGTTGTCGTTCAACAACTGCCTGGACGTGGCGCGACACCTGCCGTACCTGTTCCACACGGTGTCGTTCCTGGTGTGCTCGGGCACGGTGCCGATGCGCGCCGCCACGCACGGCCTCGTCATCAACATCATACACTCACTCTGCACATGCAACACGCCCAGCTTCTCTGGTTAGTATCTTGTTCATTTATTATGTAAAGTCATATAACAGCTGAAGTGGCAATGGGCAGGTCACAGTTGTCAAGCCAGTGACACCAGGTGGGGAAGGAAAATCCTCGAATGGAGGCCGAGAAAGGGGACCAGTAGCATAGGGCGTCCTCCATCCAGGTGGACCGACAACTTTGTGCGGACGGTGGCAAGTCGTTGGATGCCGAGAGCGAAGGACCGTATTATGTGGAGGGTATTGGAAAGGCCTATGTCCAACAGTGGGCGGATAAAGGCTGATGATGATGATATAACAGCTAAACTGTTGATAACTGCGTTGTAGCATTCCCTAATCAACGATTCAGAGTTGGACAATAGCGTTCAATGACTTGATTGGCGTTTAACATTAACATTAACTGGTGCTAGTTAGTATATACAATCCATGCAATGCTTCCGCTACTGTCCAATTGTATTGGCTGAATGTGAACCAGGCATAAAGGACTAAAACTTTACCATTTTTTATTTCATCTTATTTCATTCATAATTTCAATGGCTATGGCAAATGGCTTTAAACAATCTTGAAAATTTTGATTTCAATTTCCTTCCTTTCTCTGCGTTTGTTTATTTTTTAACCTCATGTTTGGTAGTCTTATGCAATGGGTTTTTGTTTGTAATTTATACAAAATGGTCTATTATTTTTCAGAGGAGACTCAGCGGTTACTTATGATGTCGTTGGACGAGTTCGCGCTGCCCAAGTTCTACCAGATGTTCGGCATCTCCAAGGTGAAGTCGGCCGCAGTCACCGCCTTCCGCAGCCCTTATAACCGACACGGCGGAGACTGGTCAGTCATACTTACACTTATGTACTGAAAACTAACTAAAAAGGTATATAGTAGTAATGTTGATTATATTCATGAAAACTATGCAACGTTTATGAAATTTTGTTGTGTACTTGTAATTACAAGAAAGCTTAATTTTACGATGAGTTTCTCCAAATTCGTTCAACTATTCTGGTGTGGAGTTCTGGGGATATCGGACATCTATGAGCACCCAGACTTTTACTTTAATCATTCATTTCTTATTTAAATTCAACATCTTTATTTGAATAAAATATTTACATGTAAATGAATTAAAAACACACAAAAGTTAGCCTATGTGTTTTTCCAGACTATGCTTTATATCTATGCCAAATTTCATTTAGACCCGTTCAGCAGTTTAGGCGCTAAACTCTAACAAATATCCATACAAATAGAAAAAAAATACATTTTATTGTTAAATGTTTAACATATCTATCTAAACTTTCGTGTTTATACTGTGCAGGTATTCAGAACACTCGTACGGTCCGTGCACGGAGTCGTCGAGCGGCGGCACCAGCACGTCACTAGCGCCCTCCACCGCCTCGCACTCGCACTCGCACTCGCACTCGCAGTCGGACCGCGAGCGGCTGCCGCTGCAGTCGCTGGAGACCATCACTGACGCCCTGCTCGAGATCATGGAGGCCTGCATGCGGGACATACCGCACTGCGACTGGCTCAACACATGGTAACACCCGCCAAATAACCTATCTGAACAGTTACACCGTTCATCATACAGATAAAACTGTCAGAACCGAGCATATGTAGTAGGCTTTATGCATTTACAAGTTGTAATACAGTAACAAATGCATAAAACCGATTGTTATCTCTTTTTTACGATTTTTTTTTAAATTATGAAATGGCAAGTGAGCGAACGGCCACCTGTATTCGCCTAAAAGACGAAGCGAATGCTGCGCATAGACATCTGCAATTACAAATGTGTTCGGAAGAGACGCACATAAAGAGGATAATTCCACTTTGCTTTGCGTCTACCTCACCGTTAGATCCACTTTCCCATCCTTTTCTTATAAGAAAGGATAGGAAGATAAATGGACTAAAATTAGGCTTCCGGCACGCAAAACTAAAGGATATGATACATGTTTCTGTGTGCTTGCACTGTAAATGAATAATTAAAACTACTTTATTAGGAATATTTTACTGCCTCATTCAAAATTTGATATGTTTTCAGGACATCGCTAGCTAAAAGTTTCGCTTTCTGCTTCAATCCTGCCCTACAGCCTCGGGCTTTGATTGTCTTCGGGTGTATTAGTAAGTTGAAATCAACTTGTAATAAATAAAAAATAAAATAGAATAAAAAAACAAAAGTGAGTAGGGTATGTGTTCTTCCAAACTATCCTCTACATCTATCCAAATTTCATCGAAATCCGTTCAACCGATTAGACTACAAACTCTAACAAATATCCATCCATCTATGTAAACTTTCGCATTTATAATATTAGTAATACGTTCTGTTACACCCCTTGATTGCATCCCATAGTACACATCAATCCTTTTCTTGCCCACTCAGCATATTCATATTCCATACGCTTTCCGCTACCCGACCCTTCAGACTCATCCCAACAACCCAGACGGTAGTCCAATTTAATCTTATAAACCGTTTTAATCCGACGCTCATAACAGTACTATTTTTAAGGTAAGAACGTAAGTGATGACGATATGAAGCAGTTGCTGCGGATCCTGGTGAAGGCGCTGGAGTCGTTCAACGACCTGGCGCTGCTGGAGGCCCTCATCATGTGCCTCACCAGGCTGCAGCCTCTACTGCATCCGGTTAGATATCTTACACCTTCATTCATTTTACAACATCATAATACCCTAGTTTTAAAATCGCCTTATTCTGATAAAACTGTCAAACGTATCGACACATATTACTGTCTCTATTATTTCAAAGATAATCAAAATAATAAAGGAAGACAATCTTAAAAGTTATTGCAGTTGAACTCCATATTACCTTTCTTCAAAAAGTAAGTCTGTTAATAAATACAATAAACTTTAAAAGGGCATTTTTATATCAAAAAATCATTTAACTGTCGAAAAAATTATAATTTGTATATACTTTGTTCAGGAATCACCAATACACAAGGCGCTGTTCTGGGTAGCTCTGTCAGTACTGCAACTGGACGAGCCCACACTGTACGCGGCGGGACTCGCACTTATGGAACAAAACCTACATACATTAGATTCACAGGGTGTTTTCGATGATAAGGTAGATATTACATCGAATTTGTACATAGAATTTTGTTGAGAAAAATACCTACTGTAATAATTTTATGTTTTCAGACATTGGAGCAAGTTATGATGGAAACCAGGGAACCTTTGGAATGGCATTTTAAACAATTAGATCATGCTGTGGGCTTAAGGTACCGCTCAGTTTTCATATTCCTAATTTTGTGTGCAGTTAAGTTTCTGCTACAACTAGAGAGCGCGCTCTGCTCACATATTTAATATTATCTGTTGCTCGCGAATTCGTCTGTATACAATTTTGAAAAACATGGCTTTGTTACTGACGACGTAGCTTTATAATATTGCAAATGTTTTTAAAATCGGTCCAGTAGTGTTTGTGTTATTTCAATACATACAAAATACAATCTTTCCTCCTTATAATATTAGTATAGTTACAGTAATATGACCTAAAATTGCGTACTATTTCATATAATTAAATAATATGTTAGGTAATAGTGAAAATATTGTAATAATAAATAGATGAGGCATAGTGAGGAAATTTTTACCGGCATTTTCCCTCAAAGGTATATCAGTTCTCAAGTTTATTGTCAAGTCCTGTTTGATAATAAAATATAATAAGTTCCATCTTTTGTATTCCAGTTTCCGTTCTAACTTCCACTTCGCGCTGGTGGGTCACCTGATCAAGGGGTACCGGCACCCGCAGGCCGCGACGGTGTCGCGCACTTGCCGCGTGCTCGCCGCGCTGCTCGCCACCGCCGCACGCGAACGTAGAGACAAGTTCCACGTCGCACCGGAAACTGTTGCTTATCTTACAGGTAATATATGGTTTTTGGTCCTTCGAGCTAGGATAGAGTTTAACAATGGTAGAGCTTTAACATCTTCGCACGAATGGGTCGGCTCACTACAAGCAATACAACGACAACACAGATGACAGGCGTGAAGTGGGAGAAATTCCGCGTTTCGTCTGTTGAGTGTGGTGCTGAAGGCCCAACATTGGTCCCTTTTCCATTCCACCCTTTTTGTTATGAGAAGGGATGACAAAGGAAAGTGGATTTGACGGCGGAAACGCATAAGAAGGGGAAATATCCTCTTTATGTGCGTCGCTTCGCCATTTTCGCGGATTCAAGTCACTTGCTTGTTTGCCTTTATATTATAAAAAAGGATGTTTTAAGAAAATAACTTGAAAACTTAGTAATATTTATTGATTTCCTAAAACTCAACATAATTAAATTAGCTTAACCTTTTTTAAAAATAACAAAGTCTTTACCAAACTTATGCTAAATCAATGATTTAATGTGTTTTTGTGATTTACAACATAGCTTTGGTGTGCGTGAGTGAGGAAGTCCGTTCCCGATGTCACGTGAAGCACTCCCTTCCTAAATGGCTGCCGGACAACTGCGACCATTACTGCCCTACTGCTGAACATCATCAGGTAAATAAAACAAGGAATATGGCATTTTATTCAATAAAATGACATCTTGCCCTACGAGTTTACTATCGTCTCGAACATATGTATAACTAACTGTTCTTTTGCGGCTTCATCCGCATGAACTTATAAAAACTATTTTATTATTTCCATTTCCGAAACTTTCAATAGCAAATGTCAAAATTCAAATGCACAAATCAAAACTAAGTCTATTGGATGACCGTAACTATGGCAAGATTACCTTCTTGACGTAGCTTCTAGTTTGCTTTTACTTATGTCTTGTCCTTTTCTTGCATAAAGGATTTTTGCAAATTGTTTACTTCTTAAGTTTAATAGCGTGAAAATATATAGCCTAAAGCGTGTCGTAACTGTACGGTTTTTTATTAAAATAGTAATTATTCAAAAACTAGCTGTTCCTGTGCGGCTTCATCCGCATGAAATTATGATTTTTTTTTACTATTGTTTACGTTTGTCAAATTATCAATAGCAAATGTCAAAATGACATGACATGGCAAACCTTGGCAATCTTGCTTCCTTGATGTTGGCAGCAACTTATGGTCTCTTTTCACATTAGGGTTTCTATCCAAAATATTTACCCCCTAAGTCTAATAGCGTGAAAATATATATCCTAAAGCGTGACGTAAGTGTAGGCCTTAAAAAAAGAATTATTTTAAAATATGCTGTAATTGCTGACATCTTAGGCAACAAAGAAATGTGTGTTTACGCTTTATTATAATAGTATAGATGTGCTGTGATTGGTGACATCTTATAGACTAAGTAGTGTGTGATTACACTTTATTATATTATTATAGATATAAATAGTATTAGTATAGATATAAATAGATGCATTTAACGTGTAATTTAATTTATTTGACAGTCGTCTCTCCTGATCCAGCCGACGTCATCGACGCACCCGTCATGTCAGAGCCGCCGTCAGAAGTCGTGGGATGTTCTCGACCAGGCCGCTCTGTCGTATGCGCACGGTGGTGAGATTCATTATATTACTAACTTACGCCTGCGACTCCGTTCGCGTGGAATAAAACTAAAGTAAGTAGCCTATGTTTTTTCCCAGACTATCATCTATATCTATGTCACATTTTATCTAGATTCGTTCAGCAGTTTACACTACAAACTCTAACAAATAGCCATCCAAGATATAATTTATATCTTACTTATATTATAAATGCGAAAGTTTCTATGGATGGATGGATGGATAGATGTTACTACATATCTCCAAAATAAGAATGGATCTCATGAAATTTTGACACAGATTTAGAATAAAGTTTGGAAGAACACAAGCTAGTTACTAAGTTTTGTATTTCATTTATTTCGCACGGATGAAATCGTTGCCAAAAGTTGTAAATTAGCTAATCCTGTAAGTTATTTATATTTCTTTGAATATCAACGACATTTGGTAATATCCGATTTAACTAATAATATTAATGCACAGGTAAGTCGCCGACTCTACATCAGTCAAGTAGCGGCGGCCATAGTCCTCATATGATGACCATATCTCACCAGGTAATTTTATACTATACATATGTAATTTATTTAACTTTCTAGTTAATTGACGGAAGTAAGAAATGTTTGCGGTTTGACCATTTGTGTCACGTGTTGTATTAGGCAACATTGTTGTTAAAAACTCTCCATAGAAAATTAATAAAAAGTTCGCGAATAGTCAAGTATTTCCGTTAAATGTGGTTTGATTTATATTCTTTTAGATGCAATATATTGTTTTAAATCATATTCTTTTCTAAATTAACAAAGCTATTTGATTTATATATATTTTTTTAAAACACGTTAAGATAATCATTAGGATATCTCTGATCCATAACTATTAGATAAAGTTTCTTATGTGTCATTTCTTTTAGATTTATCATATAACGAAATATATTATCTTCTTAACTTTAACGAAAAACCTTTTCCGTTACTATCTCATATCATATGTGAAACAAAAATATTTAATCATACTTCATTGTCTATTCTATGTGTCTATGAATTTCAATATGGGGACATGTTTTTAATAAAACCATAAATTAACAAACACCAAAACTTATTACCGAATGAAAAAGATGTGGCACTACTCGCTTCAAAATGCATTATTTAAAAAAAAAAACGTTTCCCCATATTACTATCTGAAATCATTAAATACTATCTAAAAATATTTCTTTTCAGTATACTTAGAGCACAGTAAAGTCGCCGTATCGAATCATACTACTATATCATTGTGTTTTTTCATGCAACTTGTTATGGATTTGGTTGATCCGTGTATCGTTTGTATTCGTATAAATTAATTAACACAATTGTCATGAACCCTGTCGACGTCCGGACGCTTTGCACTGCTTACTCTCTTAGACATCGGCTAGAATGCTTTTTAAAACGCAACGATCCTTCTCCGTGCCTACCTCGAAAGATACTATCGGACCTCCGCGGGTGATTATAAGTTTTAGAACTTGCAAAGATGTCTCATTAACTTATGTTAAACAATAGTCAACATCAATGAAATAATATTTGATTACATGACTGCATCTGCAAGTTATGTGACCATTAGTAATAAGTGTAAAATTAAAAGAAATTCGCCCGCGTAAAAAATATATCCTATGTTACTCACAGATAAATTACCTTTCTAATGGTGAAAGAATTTTTAAAATCGGCCCAGTAGTTTTTACGTGAATCGAATACATACGAAATTCAAAAATAAAAATCTTTCCTCTTTTTAATATTAATATAGACATAGACTACACTAAGCTAACTGTTTAGTTAATTATTTATGACTCTAAGTCCGTCTTATTGTTAAAATGTTAGTGCATAAAACGGTAGTGTTTTTTCATATCTTTGCAAGTTCAACATCACAACTAAGCAACTTTATTTCACAAATGCACATTTTTACACACGATTTTACAAGTAAAGTGCTTTGTATAATAATGTTGCTACTTATAATAAATAGGGATGAAATAAATATTTTTAATGTTATTTAAAATGTGTTAAATAGAAGAAATCTCGACCCTGCATGATTTTAGCCCTTGCGAAATCTTGCGATATACAAAATTAAACCATTATAGTATCGTAACATTTTGAAATCTAAATAATATTTTTTATTACAATAGTGCGTTTAGATCAAAAGCTTTTTAATAAAATTCTCTTTGAATCATTAACAATATAGTCTGCATACAAATTTCAAAAATCAAATACTCAAAACATAATAGTTACAATATACTACACAAAGCTTTTATAGATTTAGAGTAACCCAACATTTATATGAAAATTGTGATAAATTCCTAGTTTTTTCTTATCCGTACCCATCAAAGTTTTTATAGATGAATGTGTCTGTACCCTTAGCTTTTTAAATTATCTCCTAATGAAAAATCCTAAAGTTCTTTGCTATCTCGAAATAGAATTAACTAAAAATATCTAATACCAGAAAGGGCTTGTCTTTTGTGGAAATATTTTAGGTGATATTAAGGTATTAGAATATAACTAAATTAGTTCATAAAATCTTTTTTTATTTAAGATTGATCGCCTCCTGCTGAAAATGTAATTTTACGTCTAATTGTATTCAATTTGCACAGCACAAAATTAATAATCGTCACAAATACAAATGTATTATACCAACAATTTCGAGATTGCACCATCCTTTATCCGTTTTCTTCTATAGTCGTACCCTATCAAATATTACTGGAGACATTTTAATTTAGTCGTATTACGTTTAGGACAGCGAAGGTCGCGCGCATAGCGTGCAGCACGGCGTCGCGGGGGACGCGGCTAGGGAACACGGGGACGCCGACAGCGGGCTTGATGTGAGTGGAAACAATCATTTTATATGATAAACCATAAACACTCCTGTTTTTCACATGAATGCATGTACAAAAACATGGCCTTCTCTCTCAATCTTTGTGAAAGTATAGGGATAACGATAATTTTCTAGTTTAGGTGTTTTAGAAAAAAATACATTTCGTTTGGTCGCAACTCGACCCGCACAGATATTTGTATAGACTTATATTAACCTGTTCCAAAACAGTCAAGTAATTTTAATTCTAAGCCAAAATGTTAAGAAGTTAAATGAATACAGGGTGTGGATGACGACGGCCGCGGCTCACCGGGCAGCACAGATGATACAACAGACAGGCCTTCTTCTACCAAATCAGGAGACAGCGACTATCCAGAAACTTCTACAAAGGTACGTATAATATACACTAGTTGTCACATACTGTTTCACTTGACGCCTCGATCTCTTAGTACGATGTTCATAAGATATGTTCGGATTATTGGCATGTTTAATGCAAAAAGTTTTTTTGATAGGTTACGTAGAGTCTTATGCTTGTTGTATTTAAAAAAATGGATTTATTTCAGCAAGCATCGACTGATAAAGACACGACAAGTCCAGAAAGCAATAGTCTGTTGGATCCCTCCGTGCTCTCAGATTTTACAACACAAGCGCTCGTTCTTACAGTCCTAGCAACGCTGGTCAAGTATACTACAGGTTAGTGACTATTGCAATTTTCAACAGAATAAAAATCGATACTACTATTATATGGAGAAAAGATTTGTATTTTTGTATGTATTGAAGTAACTCAAAAAAGTAATGGGCCGATTTCAAAAATTCTTTCACCATTAGAAAGCTACGTTATCGCTGAGTAACATAGGCTATAATTTTAAATTTCACGATTTCGTGGACAAAGTCGCTAACAGCTAGTAATATGTAAAATTATACTGATTTGATATATTGATAAGGTTCAATATCGTATACACATTTATGGTGAATTTCTTATCTTTACAGATGAAGACGAAATAAGAATTTTATATCAATACCTAGCGGAAGGTTCTGTCGTATTCCCGAAAGTATTTCCAGTTATGTAAGTACAATACACTTTAAAAAAATAACCTATAGTAATGTTTTATAGATTACTTTATAAGTATTATGGTATTACGATTTTCAAATATTTTGACCCGATTCGCGAAAACTTAAGAGCCGCCAAGATACATGAAAACTTTAATATGACCTGTGCCTTTCGAGAAAGCATTTTTATAAACTTTTTATAACACTATAAAGTTTTATAATTTTATTATATTTATATGTATGTACAGTCACAGTCTACTGGATATGAAGATCAACCACGTGTTGATGCACTGCCACGACCAGGTCATACTGAGCGCGGTGCAGAGCATTATACAGGTCAGAATTACTTTAAAGTACTTATTAGCTAATTAGTAACTAAACCTAGCTTTAACCCGCAACTTCGTCCGCGTGAAAAACAAAGCAAGTATAAGTTCTTCCAGACTATCCCCTACGTATATGCCAAATTTAATCGAGATCCGTTCAACCGTTTAGGCTGTAAATTCTACCAAACATCCATTCATCTAAACTTTTGCATTTATAATATTAGTAAGATAGTGTATTAAAATATTTATTTTTCAGAATATGATAGCGTCGGAGGACGCAAGCCAACAACAGCTGCATTACATGCAGAGTTGTGGTTTCGGAGGCTTGTGGCGATTTGCCGGACCCTTTACTAAGGTATTGTTTACATATTTAACCTGAAATCAAATTGACTACTAATACATAGGTCAAGTTAATGTGCTTAAATCACCCGATGTGTTGTGCACAATATATTTGAGTAGTATAGTGTAAAAAGTTTTATAGTAAGTACATAATAAGATATGGTTTTTTAATGTCTCGCGATTAGCTAATACTAATAAAAAGTGTCGCAGCGACACAAAGTTGGTATTGGCGTTCGACAATAGTAGTCTCAAGTTGTTTCGAATTAGTTCTTTTTTAAATTGGTGTAAACAGTGACATTTATATGAATTTATTTCAGAATCAATGTACAGCGGAAGGCAGCGAGTTGTTCGTGAACTGTCTCGAAGCGATGGTGGAGACATGCCTGCCCGGCGACGACAGCGTGCGGCCGCGCGCGCCGCCGCCGGACCCTGACCACCCTGACACCAACGACGTTAGATACACTGGTACACACTCCTATACTACCTGTTCAGTCAGCTTCGTCCGCATTCAATTATAAAAAAAATTGTTTACATTTGTCAAATTCTCATTTGCAAATGTTAATAATTCAGTTTAGTTTCTTGTCTATGGCACTTCCTTAGCGTACTGGGCCAGTATAGAGTGTTTTACAATTGTCAAAATTACCGTTACCTATAATAACATTGCTTTCTTAATGTTGGCAGCTTGTAGTTTATGGTCCCTACCAACATCCATCTAAACTATAAAAGTAGTATGACTATCGTGTACTAACTGTCGCAAGCAAATCCTTTCACGCGGAATTAAAAGAAAACTTAATTATTATCAAATATACGATAGACGAGCAAAATCTACAGTTCTACTTTATAACATTACTTTCAATTTTACATAGGATTATCTTAAGACATAGTAAATGGCTTAAGATTGTTTACGGAGAAGACGTCGATTTTATGACATTGGAGTTTTATATATTGTTTCTTACAGGTGTACTACGACAGCCTACTATATACTGCTCTACACAAGATACATAGCAAAAGGCTAAAGTAAGTAGTTTTCATTTCAATACTGACTTACGATACGCGATATAACAATAATGGATTTATATATTTTCAGAAAAAGACGCTTGGTACCCAAACGTAAAGATAAGTAGCAATATAAAATATTTTAATTCACAACGAAATCTACATGTTTTATACATAAATGCATTTTAATATTTTTATATAGAGAGATACTAAATCCATTTGATTAGTGATAACTTTTGCATTTACTATAAACTAAGCTTCCTACATATGGCACGCTTTAACGTTAAATAGATTCAATATTAATACATTGATTTTTCAGTACCAAGAAGTATATGTAAAATATTCTTATACAAAAAGAAAATGATTTTTAGTTACGTGACGCACCTTAGTACAATTATCTTCTGATATTTAAAACAATCAATTAAGTGTATAAAAGCATATGAAAGAGAGAAATAGAAATACTTTGACCGCATCTAATAGAAATCCCGGCATTTTTTCAATAATACTCGTTGAAAAATAAAAGATAGTAGAGAATTATGTTGTCTAGAGTGGCGCTGGTATCGCAGTTTGTTGCGATACTAGCGCCACTCGGGTCTATAAGTTTGACGAACTATAATATATCGACAAACATGTAAAATCCCTTATTGATGTTGTAAATATGCTTTAATATATTTAAGTTCAATGACAAAGATGAAATCCACCGTTAATACGTAGTTTTTAAGATTATTTAAAAGTAACCTTAGATCTGACAACAGTATTGTTTCATAAATACTAAATATTTGAATTAACAGATCTGAATTAATCATATTTAAAATATCTTAATGTAAGTAAATTGATTATATGTTTTGTGTATGTGATTCGGTTGACTTAAAAAAGGCTCTTTCATTAACAAATGTTGATATAATAGCTTTTTTTAACGTAAGATATATTTTATTCGTCGATGTATCCCAGACCTACCCGAGCAAAGCTAGGGTAGCTATTATTATAATTGTTAAAACATAACCCCTTTTTGCACAATGAAAAATATATTTACAATAGAACTAGATGTATTTAATTCACGTTGTAAATGTTTCTCTATCTGATTGATAACAAAAATAAATTTATTAAAAATGTTACAATAATTTAAAAAATGCGCCTAATTTTTTAAAACAATTATGTTTAAGACTGTATTATTATCAATAATTTGAAATTAATGATCTGTTATATTTACAAAAACATTATAATAAATAAAACTTTACGCGCTATATTAGGATTTATTAGTCGTGCACAATTACATGAGACCTTAGTTCTATGACGTCACTCTTTATAACCTCAGTATAAAAACTATAGTTAAAATTTTTAATGACATGTTAAGTTTCAATCGTATAAATGTAGTATTGCTTATTTTGGATAATTAGTAATACGAGTCGATTTAAGTTCCTTGTAGATCTAAATTTCGTTTCAAATTCAGTTTTCAATCAATGTATAACCTTACCAAGAATATAAAAATCCTTGCCTAAAGGCGTATCTTTACTATATTCCTTTCTTATGTACGCAAATAAATTAGTTCCATATCATTTTGCAAATTGAGTAGGGTAGGGTTTTTATATTCTCGGTAAAGATTTAATATATTTAAATGTGCTTTTGTTACATTAAACTTTAAAATTGTTAGTTATGTACATTTATATGTTATCACGTATTTTAAAGCTTTATAAAATTACAATTGATTGTTTCTAAGATAACGTGCACTTACAAAGTATTGTTTATTATCTAATTTACATAAAAGGCCTTTGAGTAGCTAAACTCTTTTTGTACCTGAATACCAGTTATTTGTTAATGTCCAATATCATGTTGCAAGTTGAGTTAGTCTGAAATCTTTTATGCTAACGTTAATATACAATTGAAATTATTTCACGAAAATTTACAGGGTAAATAAATTTTAGATGATTTTATTTATTTTTACTACATTATAAATATGACAAAAATTGTTTGTGTATGGATAAGCAACTTTTACATCAAACTTTTTAGTACTCAATCATCATCATTTTATTTTATGCTTATTTGCCTCATATTGATCCTTGAAATAATTTTTGGGAAGATCTGACAAAAATTTCAATTTATAAAATAATGAAGTTCAGGTATTAAGGGCCTGTCCCTCTACTGGCTGATAGAGGCTCAGATAGCTTAACCAACCAACCAAACCAAAATCCGATATTTCCATCGCATATTTTATACGTTGGATTGTTATTTGTCAATTTACAAGAATTGTGGGACAGGCCCTAAATATCGAAATATTCAAAAATCTAATGAAAATGCGAATAATTTACATAGCAGAGTTATTTTTCAAATATCCACTTTTGATGTAAAAAAAAACTAGCGATATATTGTCCTATTCCATTTGTATGAATCATGTATTACTAAAAAAGAAAATCTAGAGGAATTGATATTTCATAGCATATATTAAGTTTACCTACAAAATGTAATACCTTAATTAATGTAACATGTACAGTATTAGTATTTGTAGAAATTACCTGTTGAGAATTATCACAACTATAATTCACTACTCAATGTTTCCATGTAATAATAAACAAATGAAATTCTCATGCTTTAATTCAAAAAACCTGAATTACTCCTGCACCCCTAATGGGCGTCGCCAGCAACTGCCCCCCCCTCACCTCTGGAGAACCCAGAAATATTAAATAGGTATACTTCGAATAAAACTGTATTAATAGCTACCTCCTTTCACCTAGGCCTAGCCTGAATCATCAGCTGCCGATGCCCAAATTTCCCTGTCTTACTATTTAGAGTTTTTTAACTCATATTTTCAGTTTCTTTATCAATATTTTGTCCATTTTTTTTATATGTCATATAGTATTTCATGACATATTTATGCCTTTAGCCCAATATATTGATTCATTTATAGAGAATCTTACTAATAATTGCAGAAGTTTGGATAGATGGGTGATTATTGCCGTGTAGCTCCAGAACGGCTGTAAAAAAAATGCTGGATAAAATTCCATATAGGTATTAAGCTACATAATTCGTTAATAAAACAAAATATATCTCAAAAACCATATTTATATTTCAACAAAACACCAAAAATAAAACCCGAACATTTCATTTAAATTAATGTACCATGAGCCCTCACTGACAGAAAACATTATGATAACAGATTCATTTACAAACACTATAGAGATTAAAATTCGAGCCAAAATCTGTACTTTTAAATAGGTTTTAAATATTAACATAATATAACATGTAATGTATGCGCAAAACTGTGTATTTCTCATGTCAAAACGCCTGTAATAAACACATCAACCCTCTCAGTCTATAACAAAAAATCGAATTCAAAAGAAACGAGAAATTATAACAAACTTATTCAAACAATGTAATTGAAATTGCAATCACAACCGCTGTTGTGACATGTGAAAATATAATTTCTCATTTCCATTGAATTTAACTCATATGTTACTCATGTACAATTTACATAAATGTCCTAGAAGTTGCCTTGTCAAATAATCTAAGAACTCTAAAGTATATATACAGCAAAAGAAAACATTCGTGATTAATAATGTTACAAGAATAAATTAGTTAATAGTGTTAACACATTGAATGCCAGCAACTGCCATTAGTATTCAAAAATATTAGTAGCATCGCTTGTGTTAAAAATTTCAGAACACTAACTTCTTTTTTTATCACGTTTAAGAGTTAAATAGATACATCGAATTACATAATATTAAAAACCAATTGTTTCGAGGTACATACCCGTAATCTTTTTACAACTTAAATACGTCAAGTGAATTAATTTTGGCACATACAAGAATATAGTAAAACCTATAATAAACAATAACAAAATATTACTTTTATACAGATTCACAACAATATACACATACATAAATTGACGTTTTATATTTAAAGTAATTTTTATACAAATTGATTTGGAATGATTAAATAAGTATACGAGTTAGTTCCATTCTACTGTTTAATTCTTAAAATTTAAAAAACGTTTGCTAAAGAGAATTCATACAAATTCGTCTGGTCGAGAAATAATAATATTTACCTAAGAAAAACGCCGCACAGTGATGTCAAGCTCATCA